GAGGTTCAGCAAATCTGCAAGAGAACAGTTTTCGCAATCTGGAGTAGATGCCAAACACGCAGCATAACGCAAAGGCTTAGCCGCACTGTTTTTATTTATTTGTTGTTTCTGTTCTCATTGTCGTGGAGTGCCATTTGCTCTTCATTCACAGGATGAGCTAAACACATAATCCTAATGCAGTTAGCAATTGTTTTTTCATTTGTCTTTGGTTGCTGGATATTTGTTGATTTAACATTGTTTGTCTAGAAAAGCACTTTCTGGACAGACTTTTGTTATTATTATTATTATTATTATTATTGTTGTTGTTGTTGTTACTTCTGTTTTGCAGACAGCTATTGTTAAGGAACTTCTTGCATTTTTGCTTCAAAACGTAGCATAAGGAATACCTGTAAAACATACAACAAGAAACTCACAAATAACTCACAAAAGAATTTTGTGCTACCACGTAAATGTTTTCGGATATTGGACTGTTTTCGATCAAAATTTCAAAAATAAATGTGGTAAAATGATCGACAATGTCTTGGCTCGTAGAATTTGAATCAAGTTAATGAGTGGAATTTAGTAACCAACTTCAGAATATTTTTTCTACAAAAGCTTGTGACGCCATCATTTTGTCTTCATAGAAGGTCCATTATGTATATGTTATCCTCTTTGACTACGAAGACCTATAGCTATAGCGTTGAAAATAAGGTAATTAAAGGATAATTTTGGTTGTTGAGTGAAAAGATTCCAGAAATGTTAACCAGGAGAATTACCTAAAAGCGATTGCAACAAGCTCGCCCTACACTTTCTAGCGAATGGTCATAAACACAAGTTATCATGAGTAAACAGTTTACAAGGCCTCATTTACACAAGGAGGAGGTCAAGTTATTTTGACCTCAAATTTGTAAGACTGACAAATAATTGTAGTTACCTAAGGTCATTTTATTTAGGTGGTCCGAAAGACTACTTTTAATACAGAATAAGCGACTGACATTTATACTCTAATTGGAATTTGAAATATTCTTGAAGATGTACAAATTCATAAAGCTTTCTCGTCTTATGCCAAAATGGATTCCATTAGAAATTTACAATTGCATAAGACATTGCCCGTAAATTGCCCACGTTCTATAATGAACTACTCACTCAGACGTATTTTAATTGGCCGCTTGATTTTAAATATCTCCTTAGTTTAACATTTATCTGCTGTTGCTGACATTATTAGTAGCACCATATTTTTTTACATTCTGTGTACACACTATGGTATTTAATGACAGCTCGTCAAGGAGTCCTTTTAAGCATTCCATCCCCAAAAAATTCTTGGTGATTATTTACTCATAAACGCAGATCGTAAAGAAACATGTACAATTTGGTGGCTCGGGGTAAGAGCATCGTTGCCCATGAAGAGGCACACATTTTAAACTATCAATTACTTGCCAAATTGTTAGGTGCTGCTACTTTCAGTTTGTACAAGACTTTCTACATAATCACTTAGAGAAAAGTTTCCTAAATAAATCCTAATTTTCCTTTCCCTCATAAGTTAAACAGACCACACACAAATGTCAAAATTGATCAGATTCGTAAATTTAAATTGTAATTATGAATTGAAAATAATTAAGATTGCATAAAGCAAATTAAAAGCCTGCTACTGTAGAAGTTTTCTCGTTGCTGCTCTAACTTATTCTCCCCCATAATTAAAACGTTTTGGTGCCGGAAAATGAACTTAAGAAACAAGGCTTAGAACTAATATTTCAATTATAATCAATCATTTGTCAAAAATGCCACTAATGTTTCAACTAAACTTAGGAAACGGGGTTTTTAGTACATGTTTGATTTCACAGATGCCGTCAAGAAAAGATTTTTTTCGAATAACGTTTGACATAGAAATCTGCTGTCTTTAAAATTTAGTTTAGTGCGCAACAACTGTAAAATGTACTAGTTTCACAAGAATTTATAAAGGTTTACTGAACATGGATTTAAATAATATGGATTTATACAAAGTAACGGATAATAAATCTTGATTGAGCAGACGCTAGCCCTTAAATACTGGGAATAATAAAGGAGTTTTTTCGAATACATGCAGCTGTAAACTTAGCGGCTGCATAACTTAAACATTTAAAGGCCGTATAGCGTAATCTCGCCAATGCATTCATTCTTATAATAAACTAGTAAGATGGGCGGTCTGTTTAAAAGTTTTGACTCGAGAACCTTTATCATTATCTTGGCAATGTTTTGTGTGAGAATCTTGGTTTTCCCTTTTGACTTGTCTTTCTCATTGTCTTTTTTGTTGTAAACTGTGTTTGACCCAAAGATTTGTACAGCCACTTATATGCTTTTCAATATTATTAGATTTTATGCTCTTGTTTACACAAATGTTCGGCTTGTCCTCCACCCATTGTGTACCCTCATGTTTTACAAGTCTTGAGTTTTGGTTCTTCGATCGATCTACATACCATAGCCAGGTCGGTACGGAAATTCTCTGTGGTTCTGACTTTTGTTTGCGTTTTACGAGCCACTTGAGTTATAATCATTCATTGCACAATCAAGATGCTTAAAATTCATGTTACTGGTAGCTAGAGTAATCAAAGAAACAGTTAACGGCCAAAGGTAGACAAAATCCCATAGTACATGACCAATTTTCTGCTCGAAATAACTCCGCTCCAAATGTATTTGACACCCCATTCAATTTAGCACAATTTGTGTATATATTCTTTAAGGCCATTCAAATTTTTTTGCCTTCCATGCTGCTTAGTCGTAATTCCTTGACTTAAATAAGCGTTAAATATAATTATTTAACTGAAGAGCTAGCACCTCTGTTAATTAATTCTTTTCTAGAAAACGTAATAGTTTACACGAATAACTGCCTTTGTGGATCATGTCAGAAATATAGGCTTTGTGGAATTGACTTGTTGCTAAAATCGAATGCCAGTAATGCGTCCACAATAGCCATGCGATATCATTAGTACTAAGTTATGGAAAACTGTAGGATACTTAATCTGCGTTGTGAGGGTCATTCAAATTTGCTCTTGTATGTTCGATCTCGTTTTCATTCGTGAACAGTTTTAACTCTCCAGCACTAGCATGTTCATTATCTCTTTTGTCTTGCATTAGTTGCTTTAAGCAAAGGGATTTATGCAAATATTACATAATTTTGATTTCGGAAATGCGATTTTTATTCAGTGTCTTTTGGGATTTTAGCTCCGAAATGCTCCTATACTTACCTACTAGTTATATCTGCTAGTATGAGCGCCGCGCAAACAACCTTGGCGGCCAAGCCACATAAAGGTAAGTATGATATTCCAACTCAACACCACCGGGCTTGCCAAAACATGGCTGATAAGCACCGTCGATTTGTTACTTCAAAGGCCTTCACAGTAGTACTTTAGGCATTTTCGTGGGAATTATCATTGTTTAAATATTGTGGATGTCCAACATCACCATTGCTATTCATCTCTAAAGAAAAAAACTCGATTTAATTACATAGAACGGAGCCGCTGTGGACGAAAACCGTCTCAATCAATTGCTTCACTTAATCACTGGAAGGCGATTCATCACCTCTACTAAATCATGCTCACGAAAGCTTTTTCCCTATTGCTAACGTAGATTTGGGTGTTGACGCACCTGTCAACCACAATGCGAAGACGCTGCACCAGCAGGAGAATCCCCGCGTGCCACTGTCGCCTTGTCAGCGGCGTGCGTGTCCCGGCCAAGCGACTCCCGCGGATTCCTCCTTAGTAGATTCCCCCTCTCTCCTACGGTTATTTGATAGTTCTGTCTTCACGATTCACCACGCTATGTTCTATTTGTTCAAGAACAACACCGTCGGCGTTCAACGATATCTTTGTAAGTTGGTCCACATGTGAAGGAGCAGCGCCTTATTTTCACTTTTACATCAAGTAAACTGCTAATGTCGTTTTACTTCCTTGGTGAGTTCGCCCACTGGTCTCACATTGCTGCTTTTATAAAACGTATGGCACCAAACTATATTTTAACTCGGATGATGTCATCTCCAAGGGGCTTCCGAAGGCGCGCATTCTTGAACACCTCTTATGCAACTCTTTTGGAGTTGCGATGACTTCGATTTATTGGCGAGGTTCTTATTGAAGAAGAACGTGTCCCCTCTCCTCCCACACTACTTCTTATGCTGGTGTGACCTCGTGCCACAAGGTCTCCTTCCTAGGTCATGTGTAAAAGTCAAAATCGAGCGTCTTGTGTTTTTATGTGCTTTTTCCGTAATCGTCCTGCTCGGCTGAAGCACTGGCGGGCATCCAACCTCAATAAACATGACTCAATTGTCTTTGAGCTTTGGTTGTTTGTTAGTCAGAGCCTCCGGTTTAGCCGATTGAGCAGTTGACGGCCCAACCTTAAGTGTCCGCGTGCTTTTGTGTATCGCTTACACGTGTCCTCGATTTTTTGTTTAGCTGGGCGTCTCTTTTCATTCCCAACTGATGAGGTTGATTTTTACCTCCCTCAGCTGCCCATCCTCTTCTTGCGACACAGAGACAGCGCCAAGTGTCTTCAGTCGTATCTCTCGCATAGGTACGTGTTTTACCCCAATGTTTTTGGATTTAATTTCCCATATTTTTTTTGTTCCCGAATGTTAATTCCATCACTTTTCAAATAAATAAGTTATTTTCGCGAAATTCAAGCAAAACTTACCAGAGTAGAATCCCGCCTCGGCTCGGTCAAATTATTCCAATTAAAACGAGTGTTTGAATACCAATCTCGCGACATTTACGATTTCAGTTGCTTTGCACCGTGCTGCAAGTGAACAAATTATGGCTCATTGGTGCAAAGTTTGTGTAAACAAACAGTTACGGTACAAACGTCAGAAATACTAGAAATACTTATTACAAAGGATGGTATGAATCGCACTTTATGGGTCAACGTGCAGAGACAAAAGAAGCTTCCTGCGATTGGTATTAACGTCCAAACAGCCGGCGTAACTTGTGACGACTTTGCATTTTAGACTCCGTTAATGGCGTTTATAAGAAAACTCCATAGTCAGGCCTTGTCCTCACACCACTCGTTAACGTATTCTAGAGACAAGAGATCCTTGGTGGATGTGACATTATTGAGGTTATCAGACTTACTGATGAAACTTTGGGTCAAAAACTTAACAAGATCCGAAACCTAATCCCCGAAGTTTGTTACTTTGATTTAAGGTATTGCAATAGTCCCTAGTGTGTCATCGAACATGTGTGGCACGTTAAACTATCGCCAATATAGTTTTGCTTATTTCCAAACCGGTGATTCAATTTTCTGCACGTCTTTCAAGCCCTTAAGGTGTCGGGCAACTTTACTGATGCTATGAAGCTGACGTTTCTTGTAGACGTTGACATTTCTTCCGTTTAGTTACAACCACATTAATCTTATGCCTACTGCGGAAGTAGAGGTTTCGTAGGGTGACTTCAATTTCGGTTACTATGCTTCAAGGTAACACATGACCTAGTATTCGTCACTATCGTCTCGCCACTGGTGCCAAATAGTTTATATCGCATTTTACGTGAAAAACCTGTGGTACTTTTTTTCTAAACCACTCGAATTGTGTGTGTGTGTGTGCTATGCTTGAACTTTTTATTGGTGTAGGAGCTCCGGATGTAACTCGGGTTCTTCACGCCTAAGCCTTTGCGTTATGCTGCGTGTTTGGCATCTACTCCAGATTGCGAAAACTGTTCTCTTGCAGATTTGCTGAACCTCGGATGGCCCCCAGTGTGACACAAAAACGTTGTCATGTACCTGCAAAACCCTCGCACACATAGTCTGCACAAAGTACATTCACATTTGTGCATTTAAGTGGTAGACTAGTATTTCGTAAAGTGCCAAGCCTTTACAATGTGCTACATTTTGGTGGTCCTTAATTTTGCGTGTTACTGAACTACCTGGTTATTAATGGACAGATTTCCACTATGGGTTATGGTGCGGGTAGGCAAGCAAACGTCGCATACTACGTGTCTTGAAAGTGCATGAAGTATTCCACAGCCTTGAAACTATTGACACTCACAATTTCTAATTAGACTTGAAACGAGAACGGGATTATGTGGAATGCGAAACAGCGAATTCTCTCAGGATTCTAGATTGGTAACTAAATTGAGCGATTGGTCAAAGGGCTATGTGGTTGTAACGTGCCAAACCTATGCTCATGCAGTGCTCTAGTTGTGTCGTATTTCTTGATTTTGACAGAGACAATTTTGCACAAATTGAGCATGCTTTTGTCAGCGAGGAATAATAAAGCTGTCTGTCCTACACCAGTTTAACAGCAGCAGCAGCGAAGATTTGAGAATTGTAGTATATCCTGTTTCAAACGAATAAAAGCAACGCTTTGAGAGGAGTTGTAAGTTTATGTGATAAGTGGATTAGTTATAACAAGAAGAGGAAAATGTCAAGACATGGAGTTAGTTGTGGAGAACTTCGAGAATGCGCACTGAAGCCAGATCTAGGTGTTCGAAGGAGTTTGGGACAATAATGTAGATAGCAAAGGGTGCTGTTGAGTAAGACGTGAACAAGCGAGCGATGCTGCATCGTACTGACGTGAAATTGACTCAGCGCACAGAAAACGTTTATCAAACGGATCATGTAATAGTCGATAGGCGTAAATCCATCCTCCCTCCTCAAAAACACGAGTCGCCACGTGACTCAGGTAAGGTGACGAAATGTGAACGGATTAGGCCATGAGACCGTGCGTCAGCGTCTGTTCTCGCTTGGTATTTCGCCACCGGATTGAAGCCTATTTCAGAGGTCGAATAACCACTCACGGCGTGGTATCTTTCGTGAAGCAGATGAGGTCTTTAGATCCCCTAGAGCCACCGAGGTATTCGAAAGTGAAGCCTTTTGTTGAACATGCTTTCGTGGAAGTACTTGGGCATTAATGCTGCGTATTTTGAGTAGAAAACGTTGTGTTCGAATAAAGACAGTTTTGTTTATTCTATATAATAAATGAAGCTGAGTACGTGCATTATTGTACCCACAACGTGGCGAGTGGACTTGCTTTGCATAACAGATTGCATTCGTAACTGTAAAACAACTGAGCCGCATTTCATGTTAAGCAAGGTGTGGCTGGTTTGTGCATCCACGTAGTCTCGTTTAGCCTCCTGTAACTCCCTAGTTGGCGCTCCATGTGCCATTGGCGTCGGTCTGCTGCAACCTCGTGCCATTGGTTGTCTACAGGCCTTTGTCGCAGAGTTGCTGTGTAGTGTTTCTGTTGTCTGCAGGGAACCAGGCCTCTTTGAGAATGCAAAATGGAGCTAAGTTGTGCTGAAGCAGACAGGTTTTTTGATGAGTTATGGCTGTTATCAGCCCTCTCTTTTGTGGTCTCAGCCGTTCACCATTCAGTTGTTTTTGCAGTAGAATCTAGAAGGCTAAACTAAGATGTCAGAAAATGGAAATTCACGGCTTTTGCCTTCTTACGTCATTTGGTGTTTTGAAATACTTTTAACACTTATTTTTTGTGTCGTGAATGTGGATGAAATTTTCCACAGCCTTCTTACTATTAGGCACTCCAATATATTTTTACTTAAAGTGGAATTTGATGATAAAAACTTGTCATTGTGTTCGAGCTATCATACGTCTCAGTAGTGAGTTTCATCTGGTTCTGACCTGATGCTGCATTTCTTAATTTGAACAGTTGTCTCTAGTTATATCCTCACCTTATTCCGCGGTTTTTCTGTCAGAGTTAACACGTCGCTGCGGTTTGCCACGGAGTTAGCCTGGCTCCTGGAGACGCTTTGCACTTCGTCCCCCTCATCCCCGTCACTTTTTGCCGGCACACCGAAGCTGCCATCCGGCACGCATCGTGTTTTGAGGCGTCTTGTCCATCCACCCGCACCATCCACCTCCCTCCCACACCAGACGGCTCCCTCACCGTCCCTTCCTTCCGCTTCCTGTTCCATGAACGAGACCAAGGACGGCCCGGATACTAGCAGCATCACGGGCAGCCTCGATTATTCGGCGTCTGCGGAAGAAACCAACAGGGAAGAATCACGCTTGAAATCTTGCGAAAGGTATGCAATCCTCCTTATTACTTCCCTCGTTTCAGCTCCCTCGAGAATCGAAAGTCTAAACGTTCCCCTTGATGAATGCTTACATTCAAATACACTAAACTGCAAGGCCTTTGTCGACGCACACCCACGACACGTCAGTGTACACACAAAGAGTTGCTTGGGTCGATAATTCACAAGTTACCTTGCTGAGTTTAAGTCGTGACTGGTATGACCATTTTCAAATTCTACTACTTAGTAAAAACTCGTAAATTAAGTGACTAACAGATTCCTCTTTGGTCAAAAAACCAACCTTCTCCGTTTTCTCCCCTTGTTAAGCTGCTGTGATGGCGAAGGTGTCGATGCTGAACAACCCGTGATGCCTTCCCGCTTTGCTGCCCTTGAGGAATCAGAGCATCCTCGACCTGTAACTCCTGAGGGCCACGCGAAATTGGCGTCATCCACGTCAACTCTAGGCAGTTTGGAACAGCAGGAGCTTGCTTCAGTGGATGCTGCCAAGGACGAGGACGATAATCAACCCAGAACTAAACACAAACGGACTTCTTCTGATCTCACTTGTGAGTTCCAGTCTTCTCTCTCGATGCTTTAAATTTGTGTTAGGAATAGTTTTGTAATTTCATTGGGCAGAGGCTTCTCTTTGAGTTCTCGCATGTCCGACGGTAGAGATGGATTGAGTAGTATAGATTTAATTGAGTTTTTCGTCAAAGCCTGTGAATGCTACTTCTTACCTGGCGCGGAATTAGGCGATCTCTTACAATTGCATGCACCTCAACTAATGTTTTCGCACTTAAATAGTTTGGGGGGTCAGTTTTTTATCGTGCTTTGAAGTTGCGATCCGTCAAATGGTTATAAAAATGAAATCTTCCTGCTCACTGTCCACCAATTTGCAGATAGATTGGAAAGGCAAATGTGGTGCTGACGCTTTGATGCTCACTCTTTCCGATTGCGCGCATGACTTTTGTCCTGGATTCGATTTATTTGCCACAGGTCCACTGGGTGACAAAAGTGATGTCGGTTCATTCGAATTTCTCAACTCAAGCATTCACCTCATAGACGTGTGTAGGAAGTAATGTATGCTGATCCCTCGGAATTCGGCAAAGGCCATTAGACTAGACCCAATACTCTGTGCTTGAAGTGAAGTGTCTAAATGCGACATTTTTTTCATCCAGATCGGTTAAACTTAACCTGAGCTGTAATAATTTGTGAATGAGGCGGTCTCCTCGTATCCACTTCAGCTTCCTTGAAATTCAACCTCTCACAGGCCCCTTATAAACTCTCATATTGTCCTCTGTTTATTTGAGGTTAGAACTTAATCACAAGTGTAGCTTGGTTGTAATTGAACCCACAGTAACCTTTGTACGCCGTGTAATCAAGGCCATTACGTGGTAATAACAATCTTGTAATGGTCAATTTAATGGGGGATGCGCGCGGAGTGCGGTCCATTTTCTCCTACCTTTACAGCCTTGTCCACCACCTTACTTCAAGTTGGCGGTAATCTTTCTTCCATGTGGAACTGCTAGTAGACTGCTGATTCTCCCCAATTTTGACCACTAAACATGAGACGGATGCTGAAAAAGTTATACACGTCTATCAGGATGTCCCTTTAGCCATCCCTCACTTTTGGAATTTGCAAAAAAAGGGGATTGTTACTATCGACTGATTAGCATCCCCGAGTTGTCTGGTGACTTGGTGCCTTATTCACCACTTGCTTATTTTGTGATTACTTTCCTCCGTACGCCCATTTTTTGCCCAGATTTATTGGGCTCGGGAACGAGGCAGGTGGCTGGGATTCGGGGTCCCTCCCTTCCCACCGTCAGCGGAAATGAGTCCAGTGCCGATGATGATCAAACACAAGAGCTAGAGCTGGAGGAAGTCTCGCTGAATCCGAAAATTGCAGCTTTTGCTGTAAGTTACCCTTGCCGTTGCCTTTTTTCAATTCGACTTGCAGCGAATTCCTACACGTTCTTCTTTCAATAGAAATGCATTTGGCGGAATTACTTGTGACATCTAATGCTAAATATTTAAGTTTTGCTAGTTATTATCAAGCATTCCAAAATATTCTGAAATTGCGCTAAAATAGCGTTGGTGTCGTCACTATATGGCGCGTAATTCTGCATTTTCACTAATTTGGTTCGCATTTTCGTGCGAGAAAACGCATCACGCTGTCCATCGTGAGAACGGTGGTCTAGTGAAACCAACGTGACCATGAAGTGAATGCCTAATCTGAACCAAAAGTGCTGCTTTCACGTGTCTTTTGTATGTTTGGGGGGGGGAGTAAAGTGTTCTAAATGGATTTTTTAAGTGCTTGTGCCAAGCCACCCATGGCTTCTGCAGCAGTGCGTTGTTCCCGATCAACATTCAACTATGCGGCGAATGTGTTGCCTTTTGAACCCCTTTAATTTACTTCAATCAGTCTCTCATGTTCACTGTTCCTGCCCAAGTAAAGCGCTTTAAATTCAGTTCACGAAGCCTTTGCAATTAGACTTCAACGTTTGTCGTTTCGTGTTTAAGGGGCGATAGGCAAATGTAAAAAAGTGATGACATTGGTTTCTACTTTTATCCTATTCCTACGTCAACAGCATAGCAAAAAAAAATAGCGCCTTGTCACATCGCGTAGTCAGTGACGAGCACACCAATTACTCGGTGCCTTCTATCGGTGCTTGCTTCGTGTGGGCTCAATGAAATGGCTTTCACCAAGGTCGGATTCGATCATTCTGCGGCAGTTAAATCCTTTCAAATTCGCGATCAAAACTTTTAGTAACAACCCTGGTAGAACATGCTTGCGTAATTCACAACCCAATGTTATGAATCTCTGTTTTTGGGTGATCTTTGGCGCCCTGTTTTCGAGACAACCACGTGATCTGTAAGTTGTATTGACGGTGACTGACGCACCAAGTGAGTGCCTAAAGCCAAATGCCCTTTAAACCGAGCCACAGAAATGGGGGTTTTCTGTTGTGACTTGGGTGATAGATTATCTTTAGCCTGGTTTCGTTATGGCTCCCTCGTTAGGCCTCAAAATCTGCTCGCAGTCAATCCTGGATTAATATGCACGCGAGTTTTTACGATCGAACGTGTCGTTCGGACACACATCTGCTTTGCTTGGCGGCGAATCCCCGGTCCCCGAGCTTTTCCACCGACCTCCTCTACCTCCCACCAGCTCAGACTCAACACCTACCGCGTCTCACTGAGGGCCTGCAAGAGCTACTCGATGAGAGCTTGCATGCCGATCAGATTGCGAGCATTTGCCGGGGCGAGTGGGACTTCATCAACGCCCTGCTCTCAATTAGTCGCAGATTGACAGACTATAGGTCCAAAGAACAGCGGAGTAAGCATCTTTTCCTTCTTCGTGGTGATGAGTGTTTTTCGTGCGCGCGCGCGCGCGCGTGTGGGTGTGTGTGTGTGAATGTGTGTGTGCATGCATTGAATCACCACCCGCCGCCCCACTTCATTCTGTTCTGTCTTGCCTAAACTATCGTCCCACAAATATGCCGACCTCCCTCGTCGTCTTCAAACCAACAGACATTGCATATGCGAATTATCGAGAAGAATGCCATTTAAGAATGCTTTTACTAATGGCATTCCAGAAGCGGAATACTGCGCACACACCGTGTGCTTTGTGTTCTGGCTAATAGGATAAGACGGCAATTTTTGTGGTTGCACTCTACAAAGTATGCGTTCTCAGAGGCATTACACTGCTTGACAGTCTTACCATTTGCCGATTACAACCCCACCCAACCAGTCCACCTTGAGGTACTCAGTGACATAGGACAATTCAGCAGAATAACTCAACTAACTAGTGCTCTGCAGCTGCGATGACAAGCAAATCAAAAATTGCACATGGAGCGCCATAATCTTTCAATGCGTGAAGCAGTAAGAGATCACCAGGAGGTGTCTTAGGTATGTCAAGTACTTGGTGCATTCACAAAAGTGTCGATCTGTTGTGCTCGCAGGCATGCACGGCCCTCTGTTCATCGATTTCTCGCTTGCACATTGACAAGATGGCGGCAGTTGCGGTTCCACTGCCCGAGCCTATCACAATAGATGGGCGTTTTTAGTTTGAATCAGCTGTTTGCGTTTTGGTTGGCTGCATTCATGTAACAGCAACAGCTGCCCACATCTGCATGATGTGACGAAACGGTCGCTTAAATTCCTTGCTTTGATTCTTTCAAGATTTGTACTCCACTTCCCAAAAAACAACTTCCGAGCATCCAATTCCTGATGTTCAGGTGCCCGCGTCGTCAGGCCTGTCGGCTAAGTATAGATGTGAATGGCGGCCTGTATACTAAATATGTTGTCTGGAATTTCGTAAACACTTACCAAAGTCACTACAGTTACTAAGCGAAATTTTGCGAAGAGTTTGTCCATCATCAGTAAACCAAGTGTTTTTTTTGGTTGCTGAAGTTTCACAAAGTGTCCACATCTGGCTTTGAATAAAAAGTATGCGGTAACCTTTGAATAGGTAATCTTTACTGAGCCTGTAACGGGCAAGAGATCGTGTAAGCCTGCGCATTTTCACCAACTTGAGCGTATGTTCACTTCGACTCACCCAACTTCTGCTCTCCCATCTTTAGCGGGCCATCTGCAGGCGGAGCTGTCCAAGCTGAACGCCGGCCTGCCAGCACGTGTCTGGCTACCCGTGGAAAAGACCGAACACATCGTTCTGCGGATTCCGCCCTCAGCGGCTGTCTGTCTCAACTCGGCAGAAAAGGTGGTTTGGGGGATACTTATCCTGTCTTATTAGAAGTCTACAATCCTCGGAATGTATTTTTAACTTTACCAGGCACCCTATCTCATCTACGTGGAGGTTCTGGTATGCGACGACATCACAAAGGCACAGTTGCCCCAACGGACTGGGATTGCCACTGGTTTCACTCCCTCCAACATCCCAAACCACCGATTCCATGACACTAGCGCACGCCACCACCTCTGCAGCTCCCTCCATGGTGTTAATTTTAGCCCTCTACTTACGCCCACTTCATCGAAGCTTGTGAGTCTGTGCATTTGCCTATTGGTCCAATTGTCTAATAACACTACCCAAATTATAATTGCCATCTATTTAAAGGCCACTGGGGCCCATTCTAGTGTATTGTCATGCAATGCATTCAATGATTTCTATTTTCACTTATAAAATAAAGCACATGGCCCTTACTACAGTATGGTTGTAGTGCCTGTTGGCTGCATTTAGTAAAGACTGGCCCTACGCTTAACATTTGACTAGGTGCTTTTCTGTTAACTTCTTTCGATTTCGCCCAATATATCGGTTATTTATCCAATGGGTTTGGTCAACCTAAGCTATGATGTGCTTGTCGAGGCTGTCAAGACAATCCTTCTATTAATTATTCACGAAACAAGTGTTTTGCACTCCACGCGTTTGCATAGTCTGCTGACTTTTCTGCCTGCCAGAGCATTGGCGTGGTCCGTGCAATCGCGGCACCCGATTTGATCAGTCTTTTCTCAATGGACTCCGGCGAAAGCTCGGCCGGCGGCGGCGGTGGTGGTGGTGGTGTCACCGAGTCTGCCTCAAATCCTGGTGAGGCGGCGGTCGATGATACTGCGGAAAAAGCAGCGAGGGCGTCCAAAAGGAAGACCGACAATCGTGTGTACATCAAAGCCAAGGAGATTCGAGAAAGATTAGAGAAAAACGCTGCCTGTCAACCACAAAGAACTTTCAGGGTAATTCTGGTTTATTCACCAAGTTTTTCATGTGAAAAATTGTGTGGCGCACAATTACCATTTGCAAGGCACTCGTGTGTAAAAAAAAATATTGTTTCCCTGTCGTCAACGTTACTAGATACTTAACTTTATAAACGATTTAAAGTTAATTTACCCGTTTTGGATCTTTTCACCATTTTCATTAAATTCATACAGGTGTTGTTTACTGTCACCTCACGGCATGGGCCTAAGTCATTTTCTAACCATCTCTGTTATCTCTTTGACTTCACGTGCTGTGGACAAGGTCGAAACGACTTGTTAATTTTTGGCTTTTGCTAATTTCTGTTTACCACATTCAACGACTTCCGGATACCATTTGAATCGGGGTCTCATCAGATTGTTCCCGTGGCATTGATAACTCGCCATCGCAACCTTCAATTTTACTCCAGCTGAGGTCACTGTTTACATTACTTGTCAACGTTTTTACATAAATATTTACCTCTTCTTCGCCTTGCTTGTTAGTCATGTAAACGGTAGTTAAAGTAATATTACTTTCTTGTTCTCAGAAAACGCCACAACGTTTGGATTTTCTGGTTTTTTTTGTTCAATCAGCTTGATCCCGAGGATCCCAGTGCGGCCGTTTTGAAGGAGCCGTGGGAGCTGAAGTCACGGCGGATACAGGAGTCTTCGCCTTGGGGTCACCTACCGGGTTGGCAGTTGGCCGCGGCGATCATCAAGGTCGGCGACGATCTCAGGCAGGAGCAGCTCGCCCACCAACTCCTCAGCCTCCTTAAGGTGCGCTTTGTTCACCCGTAGCCCTAATCACTTTTGGCGTTTTAATGTGTTGTGTCGCACAGTAGACGTTTCCTTTTCTTTTCTATGAGGCTGTGAAAGAATTGGCTTTGTAAAACCATCGTGGGATGATAATCGACTGTGTAAGCAAGAAGTTCTCAACCCCTAAGAGGTCAAACATGTGTTCCTTTTGTCCTCTCTTTGTGCAGAGAATCTGGGAGGAAAACCACGTGGAGCTGTGGCTACGTCCTTTGAACATCGTCATTACCTCACACGACAGTGGCTTAATAGAGCTCATTCAAGACACCGTCTCCCTTCACCAGATTCGACGCCACGCAAAGATGTCCCTACGTGACTACATCATTCGTGAGCACGGGCCGCCCAACTCCGAGGGATTCCTTACTGCACAGAAGAATTTTGTCCAGAGCTGTGCGGCCTACTGTATAGTTGGCTATCTGTTTCAAGTTAAGGATAGGTCAGTTTTCCATGTCTTTTTTACGTTCGTGAAAATATGATTGCTGTTACTACTACTAACCACGCCTTCGGTTTTAGACTCGCTGAAAGTGTTCATGAATAAGCACGGTGATCACAAGTTCTTACCCTGTACCAGCCCTTTTTGTAAATGTACTGCGTGGTCCGATATGGGTTTTTTTATACTTTAGACATAACGGAAACATCCTGATAGATAGAGAGGGCCACGTGATACACATCGACTACGGTTTCATGCTCTCGGCATCCCCGGGACGCAATTTCGGCTTCGAGATGAGTCCCTTCAAGCTGACGCCGGAACAAGTAGAACTGATGGGGGGACTGGGAAGCGACATGTTCACCTACTACCAGGCTCTCATTCTTCGTGGCCTCCTTGTCGCGCGCAAATGCATGGATGAGGTGAGCGACTTACTTTGGTGGAATCTTGGTGCCTCATTGCTTTAACCATGTGCTAAAGTTCCGTCAAGATGTATTGCTTTGTAGTTCACATGCAACGCTAACGACTATTCTGCGGAACCTATAGTTTTGAGCCTTTCCATTATATTATTTTTCTTTATTCTGATAATTCCGGGAGCTTTCGGGCTTCATGACCGCGACGAGTAGCCATCACTCTCTGCGTCTTGATTTGAGCCGTGTTAACTTCATTATCTCCTTAGCTTATCCTTCTGGTCGAAATGGCGCGTGCGGGCTACCCGCACCTTCCGTGCTTCACTTCCTCGACTTCTTCGTTCATCGGAAGTCGGTCGAAGTCCACTCACCCAACTATTGAGGCTTTGCGGCAGCGCTTCATGCTTTCTTCGACGGATGAGTGTTTATCACGGTTCGTTGCAGGAATGGTACGACAGTCGCTAAATTCTCTCACCACTCGCCTCTACGACAACTACCAATACTATGCTAATGGGATACTTTAGATGCCAGCATCTGTTCTTGTACAGGTCTTTTATTAGTTTTACACCGTCCGTGCCTTTCCATTCCTTTCCCCTTGCCTTCCCCTCTCCTCCTCACCGTGATTTCTTATATCTTCGAAGCAGTGTGAACAAAGCTGTTCATATGATAGCGTTTGGGGGACTGTAAGCCATCTAGCTAATGAATTGAAAGGGCTAGAGCAATTTGGCGTGCAAATGGTACTGAGTTTTCGTTATTGGCTACTAGTAAATTGTTGCGCTTTCTGGATCCAGGGGTTGAAGGGTCAAACTTAGTTTTTAATCCCAGTGTAAATAATTAAAGTGGAAACCTTAGTACGCGTTCTCGCTGGGTTGTGAAAATTTGAATTAAAACAACAAACTTTCGAGGCGTATGGTAGCACGGTGATTAAGCGTAAAGTAAGTCAATTTTTTTTTCAATTTTGTGATTGAATTCAGACAAGCTATGTAGTACGAGGCGTCGCTGTGTGCTACGGTTAAATGTAACAAAGACAACTGCCGACGAAAAATAAAAAAACACTACCTTGTCGAACGTGCGACACTTTGGTTTGTAAGTCTCGATGCACAACTCCAATATTGGCTGATTGCAATATTTAATATAAAAAATAATTTTTTCATCTAGGCGAGCTGCCAAATCGCCTCTAAAACGATGCCGATAACACTGTTTTTAAACACGCAAACTTGAGGCTATCAAAAAGTCGAATTTTCTTAAATTTCCGTGTTTGGTGGTCTGTTTTATTGTCGAATACTTTAAAAGTTTAAAGTGCATTATAGACAAAATTTCGCTAGTATAATCAGTGCTGAGAAGGGGTGTACTTGTGTTAATTTAACCGTAAATTTTATTTTTAGTAAGCTGTCCACCCCCAATAGACTAGTTATCCCACGTGTGTAGGCAAAAACCTCAAGCACTATATGTTAATACAACATAGGCGCACTGTTAACTTTTGTGATATACAAATGCACGAGAAGAAACATTAAGCATGAGTGCAGCCCAGTTTGCTAAATCAACGGTTGAGACTCCATTATATTTAGTCTGTTGTCGGATCACCAATTGGTGTGGAATTTAGAGAACCTTTCATCACGTCGTGGTCATCCATTATTTTGGGCCATGTGGTATAGAACCTTGCCGGGGCCACTGAGTCGGATCTGGCTTTATTACACTACCCTGCTGTCTCTGACGATGGAGAAAAAGACCAGAGAGGACGTGGACATGACCGCTTACTCCATAACTCAACCAAGTTGGTGGCGTGTGTATTTATACCTCAGATGTGTGAGTCATAAATGGGCTAACATGGAGACCCAGGTATGAGGGTAATCGTTCCCGCTAATGAGGGGGGAGAGTTGACGATCTGGTGGGCTGGTGACACGCTGCGAAAAGGAGAACCGAGTGTCGGAGGTTGGAGTGAACAAATCACAGCAATTCTCCTGCTGCAAAATCTCATTTGGAAAAAAAACAATTATCCAGTCAATTTCCTTCCATCACACTAGAAAATATTAATTTTTGAGATCTTGGCCCTCCTAAGTATTATTGTCCTTTAAAACACCTCATAGAGGAGTACGCAAGTGTCCCCGCACCCGCTGATGTTTCACTGTTCTTGATGATGGTCTGAGTGGAATGAGTTTGACATGACCTATGTAACCTCTTCCATTTGACATAAGAGGTTGCATTAAAATTGTGTGCTTACTTGTGCTTAACGAGATAATTATCCATCCTATCTGACAAGGTTGCGTAAAATATATCCTAATTAATATGATATGAATGATCACCAACATGCATGGATATTGAGCAGTGATAAGTAATAAAGTAGACACTAATTTAATTGATCTAATTAAAATAATGGCCAAGGATTTTACCTGGTTTTAAAAATGCTGTGTATGTGGGTGTGTTACAATATTTATAGTGTCGGCACTATTTGTCACTAGATTCGGTAACCGAATACATTGACAGCATGATGAAGGGCAAGGCGTTATGGTCATTCCAAGATTAGCTACATTAATTGGATTGCAGAAACTGGCCAGCTAAATGAAATGTTTCAAACTGCTCGGTTGTCCTAATAGAAGCTTTCATGATTTGTTTGAAAGTGGGATATAAGCAAAAATGGAACTGGTAATAGGACATACTAAATGCAAGGTAGTAGAGTGGATTTAGTTTAAGAAATTTAGTAGATTTGCATGGAACTGTTAAGGGGTATTTATTTCAGCTAAGAGTTCTCATCTAATGTGTGTGCTTACTAGCGAAAATTTTGGTGCGACTTATTTATTAGAATTTTACTAAACACCGACAAACAAATTTAAGAATTGTTGAATACGTATTTGGGAAAGAACATATAAAATATAGACCGACATCTGAAAATTGATCGTGAAAGAAATATTGAGCGATAAAAAGGAAAAATGCAGTTTTTCCAAACTCATTCAATAAGATTTGGTCATCAGTAGAATTGAATAGGTATTTTGCATCTTAATGTCTGTATCGCATCCTGTAGCATTCAAAAGGAACCTTGTATACCTAATAGATTACTCAAAGACGATGGCACAATGAAATACTTTATCATATGTCGTCTATGGACTTCAAAATTTATTTGTGGGCATGACATTTATGCATGGTTCTAAATAGGCAGCCATTTGTTGCATTATGTAAACGAAAGACCAGTAAACAACTTTTGTGGATTGCACTTTTTGGCAGCGATTACTTTTTTACTTTAATTATGTAATTTTAGATTTCTAAGGGATTTTCATTCAATAAATACATTGTTTGCATTATCAAAATTTATTAAATTGCAAAACTTTGGCAAAGGCTATTACCACAATCATTTTTACATTAAAATATGCCTCAATATCTAGTCTGCATAGAAATGCAAATGGCGAACAAACCACCATGGGACCGGCTTCAATCAAAGTTGTCCTGAGTATTTCATTAGTTGTGCTTTGAAGTCGCCGTACATGAGACCTCCACCATGCTCCATTATACTTCAATTGATAAAATAAAAAACTATCATTTTTTTATGTTTTTTTTAAGTTTTGGGGCCTAAGAAACATAATTTCTTGTCGAAGATATTAGCTTTGTTTTCATTAGCTGGCTAGCGTGTACCACATTTGGCGCTTGTGGTGTATCGCACGACTATATTTCGTCATGCTGAAGAAGGTGGATCAGTTGGCTGGGGACGTCGACGAGGTCGTTGCCGATGCCAAACTTAAAAAACTTAATGAGCTGATAGAAGAAAACTCTAAACTCAATTATCAAAAGGAGCAGCTTCAAAAGGTATTCTAGTTGACTAATTTCGCTATTACCGTTTCCTCAGGCCATCGATAGTGCGCAATCTATGGTTGACACGCACCAAGTATGTATTTTAAGCAGTCTTATCGCAAAATTCGATTCTGCGATAAAGAAAGCCTTCCCGAATCTGACTGCGGTGTCGGTTGTCATCACGCCAAACGCCAACCCGAATTTCGGGGATTACCAATGTAATAATGCTCTCAGTCTTGCAAAGGAGCTGTCATCTTCCGGAACAAAATTTGTTCCCAGGGATGTTGCCGCCAAAATCTGCGAGCATCTGGTCCTAGAGCCACTTATTGAAAAAGTTGAAATATCCGGGCCAGGTTTTATCAACATCTCAATAGCAAGAGACTTCTTGGAAAGGGAAATTTCGAAGCTTCTTCGACATGGATTCTCAATGCCGCCGCCCAAGCGACGACTAAAATGTATAGTCGACATGTCAAGTCCTAATATTGCTAAAGAGATGCACGTTGGCCATCTTCGGTGCGTATGCAAGCCCCTTGGCTGTTTTACTTTGTTTATGCATATCTGTCGAGTGTATTTTTTTTACAGATCAACGATTATCGGGGAAAGTATTTCTCGCCTCCTTGCTTTTACTGGTCATGAAGTTCTCAAACTGAATCATCTTGGTGATTGGGGCACTCAGTTCGGAATGCTCATTGCTCACCTTCGAGACACATTTGAAGTCCTTGATGATCGGCCCTTGCCTATCAGCGATTTACAGTTTTTCTATAAAACAGCTAAGAAGAGGTTTGATGAAGATGAAGAATTTAAGAAGCGTGCGTATCGCGCTGTTGTACAGCTTCAGTCCTTCGAACCCCAGCACATTAAAGACTGGGAGAGGATTTGCGACATTTCCAAAAAAGGTGTGTTTAAAGTTAAGCTTGCCTTTCTGCTGAATTCAACATTGTATTAATTATAATTCCACAAGAAAAAAATCAGGAAGACTTATTATGAGTGTTTTTTTTGTTGTAGAGTTTGACGAGATATACCGTCGAATGGACGTTGAAAACCTAGTTCCACGCGGTGAATCATTTTACCAGTCACGGATGGTTGAACTTGTAAAGGATTTGGAAGATCGTAAACTCTTGGAAAACGATGATGGCAGAAAGATCCTCTGGACGCCTGCCTCTGAAGTTCCTTTAATAATTGTCAAATCAGATGGTGGTTACACCTATGACACGTCGGACATGGCAGCCATCCGACAAAGGATCAATGAGGAGGGCGCTGAGCGCATTATCTACGTAGTCGATTCCGGTCAGGTAGTCCTCACTTTTTGTGAAAGTGACCATGAAAGTGAAATTGTAATGTTAAAATCGTTTAGTCACCCGACCATTTGTGCATGATGTAACCATCATTGTCTTTGAAGGGGGAATTTAGGACTATTCGTTGTTTGTTAGCATTAGTTCGCTTTTGCTCTTTGGTAGATATTATGCCGCTTTCATCTTGTTGCTAATTTCGCTTGTTTTGAAATGTTGCTGTTGGTGGTTCAGTGTCATTGACCGTTTGTCTGTAGCAGCAGTTGAGCTCCAATCTTTGTTTGACTAACGTTTTACCTTTGTCCCCCCGATCCCACAGAGTACACACCTAACAACAGTCTTCGCAGCCGCTGAAGTGTGTGGGTATGCCATCCCCGGTCGGCATAAGGCTGAACATGTTGGCTTTGGTGTGGTTTTGGGAGAAGACAAGTACGCTCATTTTGTTTCCAAGTCAATTTGCTTGGTGGCTTATGGCCTGCTTTGAACTCTTTAAGATCCATCACATGTTCTCGTACCAATGGTGACGTTCTCAAATTGTAGTCACGACATTGTTTTGTCTGAAAAAAAATTGCTTTAAATTCCCCACGAGCTTTTAGGGCTAGCGTCCTCCTAAATCCCTACCTTGTTTTTGAAATTTGAATGATAATAATTGAGTTCGTTTGCTTTTTCGATTTGGGTGCTATTAATCTTAATGCACGATACCTCTAATTTTTCATTGTTGCTTTCAATTTGCCGTCCTGTAGATATGCTTAGCGGTATTTTCTTTGTTCAACTACTCGCGTAAATGCTCTCAACTTTGATTTTGTGCTTTCTATAGGAAAAAATTCAAAACGCGATCTGGCGAGACTGTGAAACTCATCGATCTACTCAATGAAGGTGTTGAGCGCGCCACAAAGAAGCTTCATGAAAAGGGTCGGGATAAGGTACGTCCTCGTTGTCTGTTCATATTACAAATTGTGAAAATGATAGAACCTATTCCACTCAGAATATTTGACCTCACAAATGACCTTCAAAGCAGAATTTTGTCAATTTAAATATGAGCACCCATTTACCATAAAATTATTGATTACTGATGTTTGACGACTGATATGTCATCGCATTGGCCCACAGAAGCATATTGCGAAAACTTGTTGCTTCCTAGGGGTTGATAGATCACTACAAGCAACCCAGATGGTCAAGAGGTATCTATGAGGGTGACCCCAAACTGTCGATTCGTTAAATACCTAATGTCTTCTGTTTTTGGTAGAAGCACTGTCATAAAGTATTAGCGCACACGGACGAGTAAAAGTGCTCCCTTCTTTGAATGCTGGTTTGTGTTTTCCAGATAGATCTGTCATCAGACCATTGTGCAAACTAGAAGTCGATTTTTACCATACTGATTTTCTTGGAAGTAGATCCTGCTTCTACGTGATTTCTTGTAAAATTAATTAGACCGCTTTTCCCGCTCTTAATGCATAAGAGAGTGCTTATTTTCTAAGCTATAAATCATCGTATTGAAAAGCTGGGGGCTGACCCATTTCTCATTGACAGTCGTTAGCCTTTTGTAAAAACTTGAAACAATTTCATCCTCTATCTCGAACGTTTCTTTTTCTATTTCAGGAGTTGACTGCGGACGAACAGAAAAGGGCTGCAGAAGCAGTTGCCTATGGGTGTATCAAGTATGCAGATCTCTCCCACAACCGCATCAACGATTATATCTTCTCATTCGAAAAGGTGAGTGGTTCCCTATTTTGTTGTCTATGAGAAACAGACTATTTCTGAAACCCAGAGTTATTAAGAACGAACTGTCAGATAAACCTTGCCTGTTGTTGACGCTCCATTATATTCCAAATGCGTCTCACCTCTAGCTTTGCAGCAAACTATAATGTCGCTGTTTCGGATCAAAAAAGCCTGCTTAGTTTTGGTAGGTTGGCATACTGTGACCCTTTGTAAGTTGCAAGTTGTTACCTAGCAAACTGTCACAGTTGCTTGTGTTCATTAAGAACTTAAGGTGGGAACATCCAGTTATTACCAGGTCTTAACTTGGCTCCACGAGAGCGATTCAACTTTTTCGTATGTGCTATAGTATATTGAGGCCGCGCCGGCCTACGCACCACCTGGAAAGTCATTTCTGACCATCGTTTCTGCCTGACACTAACTGAACCGTTCGACATTCAATTATGTTGCATTGCTGCAGTTTCCTCTAGTGGATCGTTGAATTGACTGGTGGACTGTGTGCTCAAATCATTTTAGTGCTCTACAAATCTTTTTTATATTCGTCATAATTTGAGTGATCTGTCCAGTTTTAATTGTAAGGATAACCGTCTGAAGTTATCTGGCAACCTTTCAATGCCCTTAAACCATTCAGATGTTCGTTTTAGTTGGTTTTTCATTTTATACCTACTTGATTTGTCGTGCTCGATGGGTGTATTAAATACCTTAAAATGTGTAATGTGTGATTCCTGCCTCATGGCATGTTTTGTGAACTTAATCTGCTTCTTAACACGCCTCTGATGGAACCAGCATTTTTTCTCGATGTCGGTGTTTTAGATGCTGGATGACAAAGGAAACACCGCCGCATACCTCCTCTACGCCTATACGCGAATAAGGTGGGTGTGTTGTTCGCTCGAGCATCGAATTTGCGTGTCTTGTTCACGTTCTCCAGTGGCAAGCTTTTTTACAAAAAAATGATCTATGCAGGGTTTTTTTCAGTTCTTAAACACTGACTAAAACTTGCTCCAATCGCACACAACTGAATAACTCAATTGTGGCTAGATGAAGGGTTACTTTTATGCCACTGTCCGCAAAGATTAAGGAGCCGAAATAACTGCGCTTTAAAACTTGTGTCACATACGAGTGCTTTCAATCAAGGTCCATCGTTCGCAAGACGGGCTGGTCTGAGACTAAGCTGTCGGAGATGCGCCAGACCACAAAGATCTCACTAGCCCACCCCGCTGAATTGAAGTTGGGCAAGGCTCTCTGCCGGCTGCCAGAGGTTATTGTCAAACTCGAGGAGGATCTGCTCTTCCACAAACTCTGCGATTACCTCTACGAACTCAGTTGTTGTTTCACCGAATTCTACGATGCTTGCTACTGCATTGAACAGGAAAACGGTGCGTATTAACTTGGCGCGTCAGTCCCGTGCTCAATTTTTCTCTTTTGGAATCATTGCAAATGGGGTTTACCATATGTTGTTTTCTGCTAGCCACCGGAAACTAGATTATTAACAGAAATTCAGCAAGAATCTGAACGCCACGCTTCAAATTTGTTAATTTATATTCTAATCATGTCTTTTTTTCCTATTTTCAGGCAAGATCGTGAGGATCAATGACTCTCGAATCATGCTGTGCGAGGCGACAGCCTCCGTAATGAAGTGCTGTTTTGACATTCTTGGCATCCGAACTGTTGACAAAATGTGAAGCCCCTTATTTGTCTGACCTTTTTCGTTGTTCATCTTAGCTTAGCCGTGTGTAACAGTATATTTATTCACTGTCCAATTGTGCTATTACAGTGTTTGACATTTGTGGAAACTTATTTAAAAGCCCCGCGGCTTCTAATCGTCTTCAGCGATCTTGATGAAATACTGTGTACGGAACTTGGGCTGCTTACTTTGACAAAACGCGACAATTTTGCAGAATCTTGGGGTATCACTAGTACCAGCAGGGCAGATGAAAACATCGGTCAGTGTTCCCTTGCGTTAGTACCCAACGAGTGCAATGTTTGGTTCGTGGAAAAATCCAGCCTTTGTAGAAAGTTATTTTTGCTCAGGATGGATTGCTGAGGGCTACTGACCTGGTTTTGTGTATTGCAAAGAGCCTGTGCCCTGAAGTAGCCATATTACTCCACCTCACTGTTGGTTGTCCGCTTCTCGTCGTTTTTGCTGGAGCGCGGCTGAACGCATATCACACCCTCAGGGATACATCCTGGTCCTCCGCTTTACACAAATTGGCTCCATCTGTAGTTTGTCCGAAATGTTCTATTTGAGTCCGTCCTCTCGATGTATCCTCCACATAACTACTTTCACAGTGACGAGTTTACCACCAATTTGTAAAAATGTGACGTGCTGTGGCAACTCCAACCCACGTTCCCAATTTAACGAAAGTATCTGGTGCGATATACTACTTGGCAATCTTAGCCACGTGGTGACAGCAGTGGCGAGACCGCGTGGAAATTTTGCCGATTACAGCCCCACCCAACCTCTCCACCACGGGGTACACGGTGACATGGGATGATTCAACAGAGTAACTCAACTAACTAGTGCCCTGCAACTGTGGTGACAAGCAAATTAAGACTTTTGCATGGAACGCCATAATCTCTCAATAAGAGATCACCAGGGGGGTCTCAGGTATGTCAAGTACGTGGTGCATTCACAAAAGTGGCGATCGGTTGTGCTCACAGGCATTCACGGCCCTCTGTTCATCGGTTTCTCGCTTGCACATTGTCAAGATGGCGATAGTTGCGGTTCCACTGCCCGAGCCTATCACGATAGATGGGCATTTCCAGTTTGAATCAGCTGTTTGCGTTGTTTGGCCGCATTCATGTATCAACAAGGCCAAACCCTCGTAGTTAACAGCATCGCTGAGCGACGAATTTGCAATTATGGAGGATCACCCAAACTAATTTAGGGATACCTGCGAAGTTGTGCCGGTCTCTTTTGCCTACTCTAACGACCTTCAGTGTTTATGCTTTTTTTGTGAAATCGATTTTGTCTCGCCTCAACCGCTGCCACTTCTTTTGATCCCAAGTCCACAATGAATTTTTAGATTTTACATAACCGTCTGCGATATTTCCGTAAAGGCGACTGTCGCAACATGCTCAGTTGAGAATTCACAGCGGCGTGTCAACCACTGTAAAGGCCACCCTTGCCAAGCATGCATCTTGACAAAAATTGGTTTCCTAATCATTGGGCAGAGGCGTTTATTCGACTCCAACACGGTTAAAAAGTTGCGCACTCGTACACACGCATGCGCTCTTGGAGCGAAAACAATTGGCTGAGAGAAAATAGAAAAAGAGGTGGGGCGTATGCACACAGAGAGTCAGAAGGAAGGATTGAAGTGATTTGGGGAAGAAGGGCACGCCGTATCTATTAGTGTTGTTGTTACAGGTAAAATTAGTTGGTGTCGGTACGGTGGTGGACTGGTGGATGCTACTGTACACATGAGGCAGAAGGGAGGGGCTCATACAAGAACGAACTCGGATGTGTAGATGTTTTCTTCGTCTTCCGCCTGCTCGACCGGGCCTGTTGTCGTCTGCTGCGAGGGTGGAGGTTGGGGTCTGCGTAAATCAGGTTATAAGCACAAAGTAAACTGCGGGTCACTCGTGTTTAACAAATTAAATGAATCTCACTTCAAAGCAAGACGGTTGCAAATCAAACTTAGGCGGTTAATCAATGTTTCGTATCGGGAAAATACCGAAAACACCTAATCGACAGAGGACCCGTGAAGCATTCCGTTTAAAGGGGCAGCCCTCACTCGTACATGGACAAACAAGCGCTCTAGGCAACCAAGAACATGCAATGCAATATCTAATATCAAGCTCGTGTCAGCCCTTCCTCTACACATTTAATGACGACCAATACCGAGCTCAACACCAGTGTGATACTGCAGAATAATATACAGACAATAGGTTTGACTCATAGCCTAGGGGAACGGGTTGTTATCAACGCAGATTAATTAAAAGATCTCATGGAATTAGAACTAACTTACCGTCCCGGGGTGCCATAATTAGACGTGGAGGTTGAAGGTCCATCTACGGCCTCGAAAACGACGGTTCTATGGTTGGAGCCATAGCCAGGAATGGGAGGTTCAGCCGCCAGAGTCCTCACACCGTTGCTTCGAGTCCCGGCCAATTGACGCGGATTCACTAAAGCGGAATTCAACTGCCTACTAATTTCAGATGACACTGAAAGTCTAATGAAGTCGCTGACCCATTAGCAGTTTTCTTTTTAATTGTCACATTCCATCATCACCTGCCAATAAACACCACCAGCGCACGGTTCTAAGCAGTATCAACCTTACTATCTAGGTGAATCCGAAACTTACCTTTTACAACGCTAGTCCGCGGCAGGTAGTCCTGTTGTTGATTTTGACGAGGTTGTGTCCTAGAAAAAACTGCCGCCTGTACCCCACTTCCGAGGGAGTCTTGACGTCGTACCATTGTGTTGGGCCCTTGTTGCCTGGACGACGACTTCTGCCCGTAGTAGCCTGCCGCGGGGGTTGGGTAGTAGTAGCTGTGTTGGCTGGACTGCCTGTGAAATCCGGGCTCGGTGGGTCCACGTGTCAGCCCCGACATTCCTGAGTCGCTTTCTAAGTCCGGACTGGAGGAGACAATGGGGCGTTAAGTTAGAGGCACCATCTATAAATTTCCGTTGTAGTTCACAAGTTATTGCGTTCTGCATGTCAAATTCATAAAACCCACACTCGTTAGTTGATCTAATAAGCAAATACCCTTCGAATTAGGGCAAAGAGCCTAATAAGGAGTTCGACGTCGATAACCCTTGAGGCTGCACGCAATGATAAAGGCAGACTTGTGTGAAAGTGGGATTTCACATCTACCTATCGCAATGACGAACCACGTCCAAAATGAGTAAAAAGCCAGTTGTCACGTCAGTAATAGCGGTAATCCAGTCGGCATTATCCGTCAAACTGATTCAGCACGTTGATGCAAATGTGCTAAAAAGTGAATGTAAGCCTTCACTATGGTGTAATGATTTTAACGCTTTCCATTTACTTATTCGATGTTGGAAACCGTCATAAACATGGGACTCACTACTCGATGCGCGCAGCAAGCAACTGTTGGTTCTGAGGTATGGTGGGAAGTTTGGCTCTTGTCGGGTTTGCCATACTGCGGTAGGAAGCGGCCGAAGCGGCTTGCTGCTGCTGCTGCTGCTGCGTGGCGGCGTAGTGGCTGCCAGCAGCTGCGGCAGAGTAGTCCACCGAAGCGTAGGTGTCGGTCATCTCCGAGGGACACTCGGAGAGCTGGCGTTTCAGGAATGCTGGGGGGAGAGAGTCGTCCGCCATTATTGAAGCCCCATTGAGGGGACCTCCTCTAGCACCCCCACTAACCAGGCGGGCACCTCCGCATCGAGCTGCCGTTGGATCGATTGCGCCTGAAAGACCAGCACTCAATGATAACCACCCCACTCTTGTCCGGTTCCCTCCTACAAAATCCTTTTATCTGTGTAGTTGTATAAAAAGTGATTTACGTGGACACAAGTAATGCGACGAGTGGTTAATGGAGTGATCCAAATAGGATTTTGTCTGTAGTTTACACTTAGAAAACCGTGCTACGAGATTACCACTTACATCCGTGGACTGTTCGCGCTGACTGCGTATACATACTGCACACGATTCAAGAAATCCTCGCAATACGTTAAAATGATGTCCAAGACTACAGTAACCATCATGACCTATCTCGTCAAAGAACTATAATAAGCCCGTAAAGGAGAGGCTAGTGTGTGGAAATAACTCACCATTTGGTAGACGACTTTCTATTTCCTCAGGACGCGGTGGCTGCTGTGTGAATTGGCAAATGCCTGGATCAGTGGCTTCGCTAGAGCCCGATCCGCCAACGTGGGGATCGGTGACAACCACGACGGCGCCACTCACAGCGGGGGCGGAGGAGGTGGCGACAGGTTCCAGAGTCGAGGACGGCACCACTGCGGTAGCCACGGCAGCAGTTTGTGGGGCATTTGCCCCGGTCAAAAATCGACCGTGTTTCCTCCCGTACTCATAGGCCTGCATCAACTCGTCCTGGTTCGAGGAGACCGTAGTAGAGCTAAGCACGCTGCCTCGGTAAGCCGCAGTCAAGGGATCCAGAGTTAAATGTGAATTTCGTGTGTCGTAGAACGACGGTCCAACGCCATTACCCCCAGATGTTGTACGGGGAGCCCCTCTGGCTCTGGCATAACCTCTGTGGTAGGTTGTGGTTGACAAGTGAGGGCCGCTTGGAAAGACACCTTTTGGAAAATTAATAATTTCGTCAAAGTTGTTACCAGCATTTGTGACAATTAAGTAAAGTGGAATTGCGGCGACCCACAAACACACAAGTATCTAATTTAAGCCACCATTTCTGTTGCTCCGGTCAAATCAATGTAGCACAGTTTTGCTGCTCACCGTGTCTAAAGATATGCTGCTGCAGTGACTCGAATGAGTTGGTTCTGCGGTGAGCAACCAGTTGGTGTGGGTGGCCGACAAAATCGATGTCGTCGTCGTCGTCGTCCTCGTCATCCATGGTGCTGTTATTCACATAAGGCTGGTGGAGAGGCGGATCGAGGAGGGCGTGGTGCTGGAACCGCCGGCTGTTGACCCCCCGCATGGTGCGCGGGTCCCCTATGTGCATGAACCGACCGCCGCCTCGTCGCGTGGCCTCCAGCAAACCCTCGACCTCGGGGTTGGCGAGGTCTGGGTAGTGGTACTGGTGCATGTAGGAGTGCTGTCTCTCCAAGGGAAAACCTAAAAATAAAAACAGCGCAATTGTTACAACAGCAGAGAGACATGTTTCGCCACCAGGGCTGGCTAGATACTTGCGAAAATCGTGTGTGATGTTTACCCTAAAACACCATATTTCCATGCATTACGAATCACCACAAAGTATCAACATTCGAGCTGCAAGGCGCAACTTTACATTCCAAAAAAAAAACAACTTTTATCCAATTACTCCAATTATGATTAACCAGTTAGATTATCGTTTGTGTGTTTTCATCATGATTAGTTGGAAAATAGTGGTGACAAATAAGAAATTATAAAAGCATGCTGTCGGTGCGCAGTTAAGTGCTGTTTTGGGGTTCAAAAATACAAGTAAACGTGCGGAGCACGAAGGCTTCATCTGCTGAAGCAACCCTGTTAGAACAGTGAATTTCGCTCCTTCCAAAGCTAAATTCTGTGACTCCAGGTGGCGAATTCTGCGGTTAAGTTAGGTCCCTAATGAAACTAGACGATTAGCATACCTTTATTGAAGGCTTTGTAGAGGCGTGCGCCATTCGAAGTGCGTGGCTGCGAGTCAAGAGTTCGCGCGGCAGTGATCGCGCGAGCCGCACGAGTCGACGTCGGCTGGACAGTGTTGGAGGCCTTTGAGACTGGCTGCGGATCCTCCTCAATGCCTCCCGCCGCGTAGGTGGCGTAGGGATTCAGGTTGCCTGAAGGTCAATGTGACAATTTACCAATTACGCAAGATTGTCTCCTGAACTTCGAATTCTGTTCCTACCTAAAGGGGCCACATCGACTGAAACTCATAGACATGTGAGAGCTAGACAAGTTTGACTTAAAATTTGACAGATCGCCTAATTAAAACAGCTCAAGGTTGCCGCTGATGACATGCAGTGGACACGATCCTAATATGTAATTGCATGAAAAGCGTAAGTGTACTCTGATAAGGTTTAATGAAGGTTCAAAGTAACTGCTGCACGACCATGTGTGTTATCACTTGATAAAATTTGAGAAATTACGGATGCTACCGAATTAGTTGGCTCCATTTCGGCAATGACAGCAGATTACACAGCCGAGACTTACCAGTGCTGTCCATGGAGCTGGTCGATAGGCGGTCGGGCTCAATCGGCACCGCGGGAGCTTGAGACGGCACGGCGGGTCCGCCTCGGCCGCGATCGTACACCCGCGAACCCCTGCCCCAACGCCTAAAAGTTTCAACGCTCCGACAGTTGCGCACACTGACACTCAAGCCACAACCACAACAAGGCAAACAATACATGTCATTTAAAAGTTGAGAACAATTTTCTCGTGAACTCCCAGAATTCGCACGATTATTTCACTGGTTTAAAATTTTTTTACACATTGCCTGCTGTGGCCCGCCCTTAACAACCTACTTCGCTGGCAAAATTTCCCCTTCCCTTAAAACCCCTTACTGTGGTTTGGTCGGTCTTAGGTTCGTCTCACCAGTTCACGGTATGAACGCTAGTTTTTTTTTCAATGACAAGCATTCGTCTATGTGTTTCCACCAATTATCAACGAGGCATAGATCGAGTTCCTCAAAGAAACGGTCTCTCCACCTGAATTTATTTAACCGCGTAAATGAATTGAGCCGTACGTACATTAATTTATCATGGAAAACAACCCTCCATATCAAATCCGGTTAGATCCTCCTGTAATACATTTATCGGAATTCGTCAGACCCATTAAGAGAAATCAACTCCATTCAGCTGCGTTGGTTGCTTTGCTGGTAATACACTTTCGATGCTAGACGACAAGGAACTTAATTACAGCATTCTGTTTCTTTGATTTGTTACAGAATTGGTCCATAATTACTCGCCTATGGCACTCCAAGTAAGTTATTGACTTGGAATGAGTGTTACAGACAAATGGGAATTGTCGATTAACTAGTGGACTCTTCACAGTCTCGTCACTTAATGTTCTCTAGCAATCTTTCTCAATACTAATGACTGAACCCGTGGTTCTGTAGCATGGATGATAACTAAGGCATCGGCCCAGATGTGTAACGTGACCTCATTTTGTAAGATCAGACGAGGATACCTTTGATGCCACAGCCGAGGACTCACATCCGGATACAGGCTGGCTGAAGAAGGAGGCTAACTTGAAAAATCAATTACGGATAGAAATGGTGGAATAGAACAACCAAAAAAAGTGCACACGACAAATGCAGAAAAGTAGCGTCATGCCTTAGGATGAAAGAAGGCATTGTCATCACTAACGGCAAAGCCTAGTAAACTCTAAAGAGGTGCGATGACGCTAACTTGGGAGGAAATTTGCAGTGTCTGCATGACTGAAGCCTATTTTCAGCTTACCCAAGAAAACCGCCTGGGCCTTTGTCAAGGGGATAGTCGGGTTTCTCGTTGACGGGTATGGGTGGCAGAGTGCCCCGGTGGCGTCCTGGCGCGTACTTCTGGTGCAGGGTCTCGCCGGCGGCGCGCGCGGCGTGGCCATCGGTGGCGAGGACCGGCCGGCCGACCGTGGGCTTCGTGGGCTGGTTCAACTCCCCCTCAAGGCGTCGGTGACGGCAGTAGAAGAAGATGCACACAAGGGCCATGAAGAGGACGACAAAGAAAATAGTCAGCGGCACGATGATTGTGGGCTGACTGAGAAAGCTCGTTCTGCCCAGGCGATTGCTCGAGCCCTCGCGTGGTTGGACTGAAATGCAGAAGTAAATGCAAAAAATCGTCCAAAGTGTAACCATCTAGACATGCTTCAAGTCGGACCGCAGAAAACAAGGTTTGTGGTCCGTTTACTTATGTGGTCAGAACAAGTTAAGATAAACATACATGGTAGGCAATCGAACCTCCTGTTGCGTGAACGAATACTCTGTCACACAGGTCTGCTTTGGACTGCTGTGAATCGTGTTTATTCACACCCCTTAACCCGGTCGCTCCATCCTCCTACACAGGGTTCCCCTTGTCGTAGCTTGTCGCCAGCCGCACAGATTCTCAACTTCCTCCTCATTCACACGGATATTTATCTTGGACTATCCTCACACCTAGGTCTCGATGTTAGCGCATGTATGACTCACACATCCGAGGTGTAAATACACACGCGCAAACCCCACACACGACACAACGACACCAACGTGGTTAAGCTCTGAAGTAAACAGTTGTGTCCACGTCCTCTCCGATCTTTTTCTTCATCGCGCGTATTAAGGAAACGTAATCGGGCCAGGGTTGATTCCGTGGCCCCGGCGTGGTTCAAGACCACATGCTAAGGCCCACAACAAGACCAAAAAACCGCAAGCCTTTTCTTTGACTGTAAACGTTAAATCTCTTTGCAGTTAAACAAAACTCCAGACCCCAAAGGCCTTGGCAGTGTAGCCACCAGAGGTGGTACCCAACTCACCTCCAGCCACCGTACGAGTCCAAAAGTAGCCAAAATGAGGGGTCTTCCCAGCGGGGTTCTCGGCAATGACGTGGTACTGGTAATAGGACCCCGGAAGCAGACCACTGACGTTGTAGCAGCAACGTCTATTCCACGTCCACTTGCTGTCTAACGTAAAGAGATCCCGCTTGGTGAGTGTGGCGTTCAAATGAAGGGGAAGAGGTGCGACAGCACCGATCCCCGAAGAGCCACCGCTCCCAGGGATGCCCGCGCCATTGATCGAGTTTGGCCCCTCGGACGCGGGCCAGATGCGAAAGCGGTACGCCGTGGGGGAACAGTTGTGGCCGGGGGCGAAAACCGAAAAGTTGAAGGTCACGGAGGTTTGGGAGCGCAGGTCTGCGGGCACCATGTCAGTCTCGCCGATAAAAAGAGGAGCTGCGGTGAAAAAGCAAGTGCACTTTTATTGACGGACCAAAATATGTGGAGTAAGAAGACTTGGTGTGAAACACAAATGAAAGTCGTGTTCCGGAAGTTTGTAAAGCGCATAAAAACATAAGATGAACGAACATTAATAGCAACAAAGTTATTAATGTGCAATTGAAGAAGGAGCTGTAAGAAGGAGCTGGTTTGCGATGACTCATATTTATGGCTTGTAAAATAAAACAATTTTAAGAATTTTTAGTAAGTTAGAACCAATCACACAAGCGTCTCCTTATCCACAAAATTGCAGTTCAATAAATTCAGGCAACGTGGATGCGTGGGCATAAATGATTGACACGCAAAGCGAGTGATGCAAAACGTCAGGAAGGAGATTTATTCCACCCATCAACCCATGCCACACCCCTTCTGACAACACACCTTACCCAAAATTTTGTCGAAATCTAACTGCCACAAACGTGGTCCCTTATTGTGTGAACTAACGCTACACTGCTGACAAAAACACGCCAATTAGAACTTGCAAGGTATGTAGATTGACTTGTTGTGAATCGTGTTTATTCACATTCCCTAATCCGGTCGATCCATCGCCGACACAGGGTTCCCCTTTTCGCAGCATGTCGCCAGCCGTGCGGATCTTTAACTCCCCCCTCATTCACACGGATATTTATCTTGGACTATCCTCACACCTTGGTCTCGATGTTAGCGCATCTACGACTCACACATCCAAGGTATAAATACCCCACACACGACACAACAACACCAATGTGGTGGCGCTCTGAAGTAAACGGTTGTGTCCACGTTCTCTTCGGTCTTTTTCTTCATCGCGAGCATCAGGGAAACGTAATCGGGCCAGGGTTAATTCCGTGGCCCCGGCATGGTTCAGGACCACATGCTGGGGCCCATAACAGACTAAATGCGACGTGAAATGTCACAGGAAAACGCGCATTCGCGCGATTCTTTGCTTGATGACTCTTTCAACATAACACATACTTGGAGAAGTCACTCGCGGTGCTTACCTGAGCCGTCGGTGCTGGTCGAGATGGGATCAGTGAGGGGGCTCAGTCCGAATTTATTCTCGGCGCGTATTTGAAAACGCACTGAGGTGGCACACGTCAGATTCGACAAGTAGTAGGTTCTGCGATCGGCGGAGAGGCGCACTGAGTCACTCAGCCCCGTGTACTCATTGGTCCAATTGAGGTGGAACCACTTGATTGGCGCGTCCAGTCGGCGGGAACCTGGAGACAGCCACTCCACCTGGATGTTGCGCAGGCTCGGGGTCAACTTGTGGAAGACGGGGGGCTTAGGCGGCTCTATCAAACAACAACACGGTTTCTTTCATTGGCCACAAATTATATTCTTTGATAGGAACCCTCACAGACCAATCCAGATACCCTCACGTGATTTTTGAAATTCTTATTTATATGCTTGAAAATTTGTACCTACTACAGGAAATCGAGTTGATTCAGTCGCTCCACTCAATGACACACAGCGTGCCATCGGCCATGAGGGAACCTCAACTCATACCCAATTAGCGCTAGTCGAGTTTATTCACACTCGTTAATTCAGTCGCTCCATTCGTCGACACACAGCGTGCCGTCAACTCGCACTTAATTAGTGCGAATTCTCATCCTGAACTGACACAAAGCCTCGATGTTAGCACATCTGTGACTCGTGTTGTTCCCAACATCTGAGCCACAAGTGCGCATAACAACTTGGCCGAGCGCACTGATAATGAATGGTTGTCGCTCTTTCGTCCCATTTTGTCCTTGGGCGCGTGTTGCATTGTGTCGCAACACTACCTTCACCATCGCATGCCAACAATACCGATTGCAATGTGGTTTAAGTCTTCAGAGGTCAACTTCTCAGTTTGGTGGAAAAGCACAAGTTAGGCCAGAGAGGCGAGACACTTTAAAACTTATTTTTTTATCGTTCTGCACCGTCACAGTAATACTATAATAACCACAAAGTAGCATTTTAGTTGATAAATGTTACATTGACTAGGAATTATTCAGGGGAAAAACGAACGTACCATTTGAGACAGCTAAAATGAAAAAAAAAGAACATTTTATTGTCATAAATAAATTTAATGTGAGGTTTCAAACTGAGTAACAAATCATTCGCGAAAAAAATACCGGAAGTTTTAAATTCATCTTTGCTATAAAAAAAATTTTAAATGAGGCCTGTGGAAGTGACAAAATAGAAGTACGGAACGTTTAAAACGCTCGTAAACGGTGCCATTTATTGGTGTTTGCACAATTTTAATTTTACTTAACATGTAGCACAGATTATAATCAAATTTCCCCGCATCCCTCTGACCGACCCTCAATAAGCCGAATGACAAAAAAAAACAAACTTTTGAACAGGAAGTTACCTTGAACTTTGAGTTCGTAAGAAATCGAGTCATCCTGGTGTCTGCAGACGTATCGACCGGTGTGACGCGGTTCAACCGCCTCAATTATCAACGTCCCGTTGTCAAGGTGTTGGACGTCCCTAAAGCACAAGAGATTGTGTTACTGTGCAGACGCAATCGCTCCGCGTTGAAAAGTCGCACAAAAGGCAGGCCATTTAATTAAATCAAAAATCTATCATACGCTGTTGCCGCCAGTTGGAGAGGCCTTGAGGATGGATGTTGGGTGATGGAAATAATAAAAGTAAGTGCTATTTCGATGCTCATATTACATTAAGGGGTTTACGAGTAGACAAGCTCCCAACAGAGCCACTAGGTTAGCATTAGAAAGTAATGACAAAAGCTGAATGCTTGTCGTTTTTAAAAGACCGTTAATGCGCTCACCCCTGAGATGCAGCAAAACAAGGAACTAGAAATTTGCTTACTACTTAAGTACAACACTAGTAGTACAAAGTAAGACTTGTCCGGTAAGCAATTGAAGGCCGGTTCGAAAAACGCACAAACCGTAATGAGACGCACTTGGGCATTCCGTGTGGGGACGAGATCCACGCAACAGGGGGATGTCCATCCACTAGACAGTCCATAAGAACACGCATCTTTTCCTGAGCAACTATGGTGCCTCCGATGGAGATGATCGAAACGGCAGCTAATGGGGAAAAGAAACGAGAAAATAATGGACAGTACTTTCGAAAGCTTCAGTTGAATTATAAGTAGAGCGACAATTCTTACGATGAGATGATGGCGCAATTGACGAGACGTAGGCCTTGCGTCCATCGAAACGGTTTTTTGCCATCACCGAGATGTTATACAGGTAGTGGGGATTCAGATCTACAAAGGAGTTCACGCAAAACGACACGATGAGATGGTGGGACGCGCCATTTGGTCACTGAACAAATTAAGCCCATAGGACTTGGTTGGCTTCCGTTCACAAAATCATTGAGCGAGCGTGAAAGGGTAACAGATCAAAAACACTTTGACTGATGAATTATGTGACGCAGTTAAATTCCCTGGAAATTATTTGATCCAGGCCTAATTTGACGTCACACAATGCCACGGTGTTGAGTGTCTACTTACCACAGAATAAGTAGTAGTTGTAGGGTTTTGTGAAGTCAGGCTTGATACAGCGTGGGCCAGCAGACATAATACCACCGGGAGATCGATACATGTTGTCCTGTCGGTAGGCGGCGAGGCAGTAGAGTCGAGTTAGGCCCTGGGGACGAATGGGATGCGACCAGGAGACGATGACACATGAATCGTTTACAGGCAAGGCTTTGATGTTTTCTATTGAGAAAAAGGCGTTGCCAGAATAAACACATATTACTGAATTTGCATTGTCGGCACCGTGTCTAAACAGCTATCTGAAATGCTCGAGTTAACATTCTGGTCAGTGACAATTCCCGGATGGCTGGTTCTACGACCGACTTGAGTCGAGTTGATTACAAACAGCTCCTGGAATTTGATTCCACGACATCTGTGAAATCATTGGAGCGTGTGAATAACCGTGAAGACGGTGCGGAGGCGAGGGCATCAAGGGGACACCTATTAATAGCTCATCAGTCAGTGTTGCGTTGTTGTCAACGAAGACTGCGTTAAGGGGAGTCGTGAGAATGAAATCAACGGACAATGTTGTCTGAGAGCAGGTCCAGCAGATACGCTTGAATCATCTGCGAGTGGCGTGAGAAGCCGAACACATAAAGGCACCACTGAATAAGATTGGATTCAAATGTGTGTGCTAGACAAATTTGCAATCACATAACCTTGCTTTACTACTTTATCACTTGCCAATCAAAACCCTGCACCACGTCACTTCATGGTCTGCGAACCCCACGAGAGACTGAATGATACTCTACTTATCGATTTGTGACCTTAAAAATTGACGCCAATTTCTTTAAAACCAGATGAGATGCTGTAATGGTGCAAGCAGCACTGTGTCTAGACTCTAAGATAGTGTCCAAACAGCTAGGTTCGAAGGGCTAGAGGTAGTTGATTCAGGAGCAGACGACAGCACTTCCAGCGGTGGCAACGTACCTGGTGCCTCCGGAGGAGCCTCGGTGGTGACACAGGCCTTCTTTGGCGAGAGAGGACCCCGACCCTTCCGGTTACTGGCCGCGACTTGAATGATGTATTTTGTGTTGGCCAACAGACCTGCGAGGGTGACCGTTGTCTGGCCCTTCACCACTTGGATCACAGAATTCGTCTCATCTACAGACGCGAAAGTCGGGTTAGGGCTTCAGAAGACCCCGGGCTTTTTTCCGCTGATTCAATAAGAAAAAAAGAACCAACCTCCAAAGTCGTTGGCGATGTAATAGTTGACGAGGTACTCAGTCAGGATGCCGTTCACCGTCTCGAAATTCGGCGGATCCCACGACACCGTGATGCTGTGCTGCTGTGTGAAACACGTCACATTCGTGGGTGGAGCCTGAGGCACTACGAGGGGGAGAAGAGACCTCTAAGGCAAAGGCACTGCTGAGATTCAAGCACACAGGGATAATTTGGTGGGCGAAGTCGCTCAGAATAAATGCCCCCCCCCCTAATTACAGCACCTGGTTCAGCATCTTAGCAGTTTCCCTGGTATCCTCTGGGTTCAACGTCACCACAATGGAAATTCGCTTTTCGAGGGAATAAATGAATTTCGAAATTGAGACTTTCGACAGCTAAAACAATGCCTCAATCCTCAATGTCACAGGTTTATTGAAATCACAGCTGAATATCCGCCAGTCCACAGCTACCGCGAAATACCACTGCCACACTACAGTTCGAGCGCAGCGTGTTTGCCTACTTACGCGTGGACTTTGTTCGTAAACTAGAGAGGTCAGTTTCACATCTGGTTAGTGAATCCAGAATATATGCAAAAAAGTTGGCCTTTATCACCGCTCCCAGCATAACATACAGTCTTCCAAAGTGCGAGCAAGCGCGTAGGCCGGTGGCGATTGGCCTTTGCTGTTGATTGCAATCACACGGATCGCATAGGCGGTGAATTTCGGCAGTCCGACCAGCTCGGTGTCTTGCTGGCGGTACATTATCGCGCAGTGAATCTGGCTCAGTCCACTGCCCACGCTACAAACGAGAAAATATTTTTTTCAAAATCGAACGGGTGTATGCCAAGCCCCCTCCGAAAGTGAATTCACTGCACCTTGCGTCCTCGGTGATGAGGTCGGTGGGCCAGGGGAGACGCGCCAGGTCCTCTTGGCCGTTGCCTGTGAGGCTCTCGTTAACACGCTGGTGGCACACCGAGTACCGATCGACGTTGCCGTTGCGCAATTCGGGTTTGGGCTTTTGCCAGGCCACGTAGATCGTGTCCGAGGCGACTCCGCTCGCGTTCAGTTGCTGCACCGGACCGTCCGGCTCTAAAGGTGGAATCCGGCATTCATAAGAAAGCAACCTAACGCTGTGGAAGTTACTAGATGAAAACTACACTAGACAGCACATAGTCTCTATTAATAGCAGCTTGGGACAGAATCAAATTAATGTTTAGTGGCACTTCTATACCTGCCCTAGAACTTCAAGTCATAAACAAAACTTGTAGGATTAAAATACGGCGTAGTACCGATACTAGTCAAATATTTGTCAGTCTTAAAACATTTTTGTAGTTCATTGGATCCAAGAGTCGAGGCGTCCCCTCGTAAAATAGAGCTCTTTAATGCACATCAAAATCCAAAAAGGTTTAATATTTCCCAATGTCAACATCGGGGTCAATGAGTGAGATAGTTGAATTCTCACCATCTCTTCCTTCGTATTTAGATTCCTTTGTTAGAATTCCAACAAAAATGATTTTTGTTAATCAACAGTCAACAAAGGGTCGACATAATAAATGTTGTCTAAATGGTTGAAAAGTATATTTACAACTGCAATTATCGCTGTGAGGCAAAAAAATAAACTGTAGTTGCACGATACGACGCCACATGTTCAGTTAAGCCATCCGACCTGACAAGAGATTCAAAATGCTAACAAAAAACGGAGGCAACACATTGCTCCCAGATCAAACGCACTTGCTTCCTGAGTTGTTAGGACCAAGGAGTTCTCCAAGCTGAATCCAACTTCGTTTTCCGCCTTGATGGCAATATTGTACTTGGTGTAGGGTCGCAGTCCGGTGAGGGTAGCCTGGCGCTCGTGTGCACGAAATTCGATCACGTTGCTCGGCTTCTGAAAAAGTGATAAGGCAGTAATTTGGGTACAGTTGAAAGATCGGGAATCGCGTCGACGGAAGGGCATTTTCGAGGATACTTAGGAGATTATGATAAAATCATCTAACAATTTTGTTTAAAAGATGTACCACTGATGCGATCGACGGGCTTCACGTATTTGACAAGATTACTACTCGAAAACAGAGGAATGAGACTACTGCGGTGAAGCCTGTGAATTCCAAACCGCCATAACACCTCACGTATGACCGTTTGCCACGTTTACTCGCCTCGCAGATCTCCTGCCGTTTCACCTCACTCTTAGATCCCGTCGAACTCTTATGCCCATCTTAGATCCTGCCTGCCTCGATGCCAGCCCATCTTTGACTCGCGCTGTTCACACTTTGGGCAATTAATACACACGCACAGACGCCACACCACACAACTTGGTTGAGAGATCGAATAAAAAGGTTAGGTCTCTTTACCTCTCCTGGCTAATTTCGCCCTTGGGTATTTTGTGCTGCATCGTGCCGCAGCAACAAAACCCTAATCACATGCCCCGTCGATTTCTGGCCGACAGTTTATCCCAAAATTAAACTAAACAAAACGTAGCTAAAGGAGAGGGAGCAGAAAGTAATAGAAAAAAAAATCGAACTACAACTGAAACTGGTGTACACTCGGCATCCTGGGGATACAACGGAAATCCGAGAAATGGAGTGGACCTTAGCCACTTTGAAAGGCATTAAAAATCAATGAATTGTTTGGCTGTAGCACCACTCACACTTTGAGTTGACGTGAACTCGGAGGCAGAGGAGTCGGCTTGGTAGTAGCGTATCCAGTAGCGGCGTATCTCCTTGTTGCCGTTGTGGGCCGGTGGTAGCCAGGAAAAGGAGACACTGGTGGCGGTCGTCTGGGAGCTGTTTTGCACAAATGTCACCGGATCCGGGATAGCTGGAAAAATTGGAAAATACAGCAATTGTCCCCCCAGTGTTTGTAGCTCTTCTTACGCTGAATTTTAAATTCCCTGATGTATTAGAAAAGGCTGGGATTTCTAGGGGGAAGGTTTGGCGAAATTTGAGTTGGAGTTACAAAAGACCTCCATGCTTAGAATTTAGCTTTAAGGAGGGCATTCTTTTTGTGGGCAAAAACAGACTACTCGCTGCAGCAATCAGCAAACCATAACGATTGTCCGAAAACTTCAAGTAACGGCGTGGTTGCCGCAAGGTCTAATCCCGAGGCAGAGTGCCAGATGGTTATTGACGCAGGTGTCAGACACGCACCGGTAAAAGCGTGGAAAAGTTTGAATGAACAAGAAACATCAAAGACGCTTTTTTGCTTTGAGGAATCAATCTAGTTTATACTTGAGATGAGCCGCGGCGTGACTTATGAAGCCGCACGCAGCCAGAGGAACTTTAATTGACTTCAAATTATCAAACAAAACCTCGGAGCTATGGGACGTCATCAAGATCACGGTTCGGGGAACAAAAATGAGCCAGCCAGGTGAATACACCACTGCACACACGGGGATCCCTTCGGTGAGAATTACAACCCCGTCAGAACTGTGCACAATGCTACATCATACAGCTAACAACACCATCTGTGTGACATTTTGTTTTCTAACTGTCTGTACATAGTCGATACGCAAAGCTTGACTTCAGCAAACAATTAAGCTCAACTACTGTAAGGTATCATAAGTTATTTTCAAAAGACAGAAGTCTTTTCTACGCTTGAGCATGCTCTGAGAAAAGCTCCGTAGGCACGAAACGTGACCGAGAAAACTAATGTAGAACATCTTTTTAGCTCTTACCGGATCGATATCAAGCTCTCAAATTAAATATTGAAGTTGGTAAGATTTGAGGTAAGCACTATGAAGGTACTCACAGATGACGGTGAGACGCAAGATTTCTCGCACATCAACACGTCGGCCATCCTCGTCCCGGTTGTAGAAGTTCGAGGCATTGCACATGTAATCGCCCATGTGGACGTCCTTGAGGGAGTCGAACTGCAGCTGACGTTCGATCCCACGACCGCTCTGCTTCAGTGTAGACACCTGGGGGAGGAAAGTGAGAGTCAGCAGAGGTGCACGTGCAATGCAGACGTCTGCGTACCTGTCTTCCCCCACCCCAACACCCAAGCGTTTATGCAAGCCCAGACGAACCGTCGACGCACCCCTCTGGTCCTCATCGAAGCGCTTTACTTGTGCCAACACCCTGCATAGCTCACGCACATACCGGAGTGAAATTAGGTCCGCATCACGCCTTGCAGGTGAATGGGCGGTTGCAATCACCTCACCCTGTTATCTTCTCACCAGCTCTTATGGCCGGAAAGTCGCCGCATCTCAATAGCTTCGCGAAGACTGGGATGTCTGAGACAAGCTTCTTCCTCGTCCCGCCAGGGAATAAACTTTCGATAACTACCGAGGTTTACGTGAAAGCAGTTACACGTCCTTTATAACTGGTTGATTGGTAAAATCAGCAGGGCCTTGGTGAAAGTCGGTGAAAAGTTGATTGCATATGAACAGGGCTTTAACACAATCGTGGTGATGTTTTCAAAGAGCGGTACTGAAATGAGAAGTTACTTTGAAACGATCACTAAGTGGTTGTGTGTGAGCGTCGAGTGCTTATAATGCGATTAGTTTTGGCAAACGAACCAAGTGAATCAAAAAAAGGCACACCAGAGAGAGAGAGAGAGCAATTTTATGAATCAGTATGATGTGTCAGGATGACACCAGCAAGCCATACAAGCATGTGAAACCGTAGACTACCGCCTAAGATGAAGCCTCAAACCTTGAGATTCCGTTGCGCAGAAAAATCAAATCACTCAATGATGGAAAATTAAGGTCTTAATGCGCACAGAAGACGCGTCGGATTTGTTCAAGTGCCAGCACCAAATGTTGTGCCCCCACATATTTGCTACGACAGCAAAACATACAACATGAATTACAGTGTGCAAGCTTTGAGGAACACAAAAGCCATATTCACCTACTTGTCTGAAAACTACACCGCTGTCAAATCGTCCGGCAGCGAATTTCTGGCACGCCAAGGGGTCGCTGGCCACGTCTGAGGGCGTCAAACTGAGCGCCTGGCTGTCCGCGTCGCCGTAGCTGGCCGGAAGCACGCAGGTCTGGTTAATGAGGCGCCAAGGGTGCCCGCTGGACACCCGGTGGTACCAGTTCGCCTGAAGGTCATTCCCGTCGCCGTGCACAACACACGTCAAGTTGAACTTTGACCCCCGCACCTGGTCCACGTTTTTGAGGGGCTCTATTCGCGCAGGAACTACACAAAAAACCACGGTGCTGCATAAGTTACATAAGTAGCACACCTGACGGTCCTGCAATTATCACTAATAGTGATAAGCAGGGGTCGCAAGAAGCACTGTTTCATCGACGTCCAATTCAGACATTAATAACAATGATAATAATAGTAATAATAATGACAGTGATGATGATTTTGATACTGCTGCTGCTGATGATGATGATGACGATAATACTGATAGTGGTGGTGGTGGCGGCGGCGGTGGTGGTGGTGGTGGTGATAATAATAAAGGCATCTGGAAGTTGCACAGCGTAGTTCGCTAAATTTGATGGACTGAAAAGCAAGCATCAGCCCCTACCATGAATTTCCAGGTTCACAGCCACACTAATTGGCGTCGCAGTGGTCGACTCCTTCGGTGTAAGGAAGCAGAGGAATTTCCTGGGATCGGACTCCTCAACGCGCGAGATAACCAAGGTCCCATTCTCCTCCTGGTAGATGCGTCCCTCAGTTCGTTCCGCCAAACTCTCCAATGTCTTGAAGTCGCCAGTGCCTTGAAGGAAGGAGTTGGTTAAGTCTCTGTGTGTGTGTGTGCAATTTTAGAGGCGGCCGGGGGAAAGAAATTAACTAACTTTCATCGGAGTACTTCCACACGATGATGGGAGCCAACTCAGAGGGCCTAGCCGTGCAATTGATCGATATGTTCTGCGCCAGAGTCACGTCCTGCTTGTTTGGCGGGCGGATTTCAAATTCGAGCTCAGCTTAAATAACACAAGGGTAGAGTCAATCCAAAAGTGCCTGTTTGTACTGAAATTATTTAAGTACACTTTTGCAAGTACTTACGTATGAAGGTGACACGAATGGGCCGTTCGTCAAAACCGACCTCGTTCATGATTTTGCATGTCAACGTGCCCTGGTGTTGCCGTTTGTTGAGCTGCTCAATGCGCACGTGGGCTACAGAATTGGGCCTTGCATAGACAAACTGCGGCAACTGCCGGCGAAGGGCTTCCGAGAGGGCTCGCCTGTCGGCTTGGTGCAAATCAGCAGCGTACTGAAACAAGGCAAAACTATGATCGGGCACGTGTGTCAGACAGCGGACAATTTACCGTCGAAACGATAGCTGAGAGAGGATGGGTCATTTAAAAGAGAATCAACCGCTATAAGGGTTTACGGAAGACTGTGATTCGCGCCAGGCGAGTTTAAACTGTTGTGGGCCCCAGCATGTGGTCCTGAACCACGCCGGGGCCACTGAATTAACCCTGGCCCGATTACGATTGCCTGATACCCGCGATGAAGGAAAAAGAGCGGAGAGGACGTGGACACAACCGTTGTCGTCGTGTCGTGTGTGGGATTTGAGTGTGTGTATTTATACCTCGGATGTGTGAGTCATACATGTATTAACATCGAGACCTAGGTGTGGGGATACTCCAAGATAAATATTCATGCTATTGAAGGAGGAGTTGAGGGTCCGCGAGGCTGGCGACATGCTACGACAAGGGGAACCGTGTGTAGGAGGTGGAGCGACCGGGTTAAGGGGTGTGAATAAACACGATTCACAACAAAACCTACCGAGACTTGGAAGGCACCAGGGTTGAGGGGTACATCGGGCGGGAGGTCGACGGCGCCCTCGGACCCCTCGGGCTGAAAGCGCCACCAAGCGTACCACGGCCGGTCGGCGTGGTTCTGCGTGGCGCAGCTGTACGTCAGGCTCTGGCGGCCGCCCTGGACCCGCTGCACCTCCGGCAGGTCCTGGATGCGTGGCGCGCCTACAACAACAACAAGCGGAGGGCCAGATACACACACTGGAACCCAATCGGCCTTGCACGAGTCACTCGACACTCAGACCGAGGGGACTTACGCGAGACCTTGAGAGTGATGGTGATGTTGTCGGCCATGTCGCCGAGCATGGCAGTGCAGCGGTAGTCCGCCTCGTCCTCCTCCTTGTTCACCTCCGTGATCCTAAGAACACGCGCGTTCTCCAGCAGGGCGTGCCGATGATCCACGGGAATCCGCTCGACACGTCGGCCATCTTTTATTCGGTGCCACTGAAGCTGCACGAACGGGAGCAAGGCACGATCAGTAGAGAAAGGTTTGTTTCCTCGGCGGGCCACAAAATACTACTCCACAAGCATTTTTATGTGGAACAATTTGTGTACAAATTCATGACGTTCCAAAACAACTATGATAAGTGTGTTGTGAATCGGATGCCGAACACTCAGACATGCCACCCGTCCCTCCCTTTCCACACCCGCCCCATCGACCACGCGGAAACGTCTGTTTACCCACCCATGTGCGTGCACCTCCCCGCTGACGCATGTCTTACTCATCCACACATTCAGCCGCTCATACGTCTACAGGCTCGCCCAGTCTGTGTTGATCAACAATCCCCACTTGTCAGACACCTTATGCGCAGTGGTGCGACACTCACACGCAACAAGTATCGGCTTTGCCATTAGTAAACCCCAAACCCTCGACTTTTGAAAATTATCCTCTGGCGAAATACCTTCTATACTTGTAATAATTATTATTAATTCGAGGTAAGGTGCTAACACCTTCAAATATCAAATTGGATAACAAGAGTGAACGTTTGGTCTTAGTCCTGATTACAAAACCTTGACGTTAGAGTATAGACAATCAGTTCCCAACCAAGAACCAAAGCATAAGATCACTTTTCCTTTGTGAAATAAATTTTACAATGATGATATTTGCAGCGATAAAAAATCTCCTTGCTAAGAATGCACAGCCTAAGTAGAATGGGGGCCAAAAGGAGAGACGAACCTTTGGAATGCCGCTGCCGATGAAGTAGCACTTGAGGTCGTGGAAGCGTCCGGCGATGGCGGGTTTGCTGGAGTCCACCGGCCGAAGGCGCAGAGGCGTATCGAGGAGCAGGAAGGTCCGGCAGTCGGCATAGCCCAGGGAGTTGTTTGCCACCGCGCGGTACTCACCGCCGTACTGCCACAGCTCGTCCCACAGAGGAACCTTTCACCAAACGGGCAAAACGTGCGCATGAAAAACACTCTAAGGTGCTTTAGCCCTCTAGCTTAACTACCTACTGCAAGTTGAAAGACAGTAACTAGTTGAGTGAGACCTAGACGTACTCACGAGCGAATCTATGAAGAGATGACCGTTCAAAAGAGGATGAACATGTGACTAATTGAGATACGGAAGAACACTGACACTAAAAAACCGGTGACATAGTCATTCCTGCAAATCATTTCAACATTGTCCAACCACAAATAACTTGGGATTGGATTAAAGTACAAAGCATAAATCATAACTTAAAACGACCGTCTACTTATGTTATTTTCTCCTAATACCTAATTACTATTTATGCACGTACACAAAGAGACGCATAAAAGCATTATCTGGGTTGAATGCGTATAAAATAAACTTGCTCAGGAATCGGATCAATTTTAATAGATCGAATTGCATACTCTGCAAAATACAACCGCCCCTAATTTAACTGAATTACCAACAATAATAGTCCAGGAAGCATTTAGAGAAATAGCATAAAACTGTTGTGGGCCCCAGCATGTGGTCCTGAACCACGCCGGGGCCACGGAATTTAACCCTGGCCCGATTATGCTTCCCTGATACCCGTGATGAAGGAAAAGATCGGAGAGAACGTGGACACAACCGTTTACTTCAGAGCGTCACCACGTTGGTGTCGTTGTGTCGTGTGTGGGGTCATACACGCGCTAACATTGAGAGCTACCTTGGTGTGAGGATAATCCAAGATAAATATCCGAGCTATTGAAGGAGGAGTTGAGGATTTGCGCTGCTGGCGACATGCTGCGACAAGGAGAACCCTGTGTCGGAGGTGGAGCGACCGGATTAAGGAGTGTCAATAAACACGATTCACGACAAAACGAATTATGCGTAATAGAAGAGTCGGCCGCTTAAGGTCCACTCACCTGATTGAGGTCGATTTTCAAGCGCGTGATGACGGAGTAGGCGCGATCGCGGTCCTTCTGCACCACCGACGTGACGACGCCCTTGTCGTCGGGGCTGAGGGGGAGGTCGTCGCGGAACCAGTCGATGCTGGGCAGCGGATTGGCCGCGAATCGGCACTCGAGGGTCACGTTCAGCTCGCCACGCCGCCTGGAGAGGAGCACCTGCGAGGTCGCGTAGGGCTCGGCTGCGGCCGGCGACTGGGCAGTCCGCATTGGCTTCATTTCTGATTAACGGAATAATGGAAACTACGGTGAGCCCACTCCAGTGCTACATTTCTCTTCCCCTTTGTGAATCCCCCCATATCGGTTCGAAAAACACACATAAATTCATGTTTTTTTTTTCTGATGCCCATGCACTCCACCCTCTTTGCACTTTCCTTTCCTATGCTGTTAGATTCAGACAAGGCGTGCTCAGTAAACGTCTTGCAAACTTTAGTTCTACACACTACGACGACTATCTGAGTGAATGTGCATAGTAACGCCGATCCCAACGCCTTCCGGGTTCGTGATTGTGGAGGTATTGCGAAGGTAGGCAGTTTTTATTGGCGTGGAGCATCGTCTGAAACTTACCTGCGTCAAGGAGTTTGAAATCAGTGCAATTCGAGTATTACTGATGATCAAAACCGATGTCAATCCCGTGAAAGCAATGCTTGCTAGTGTTCTACTCAATATCTGAAAATCAGATGCCGTTGTTTTTGGAAGCTTGGGCTCAGTCCACCTTTTGTCACGCACGGCTCCGTTGTTGACACTCTCATAACGACTGCTCATGAAGCTGAAGTATACAGGTTGTGCTTAAGCCGTGGTTTTAGTCGGTATTTATAATCTATTTGAACATAGCTTTGCCGAAACTGCTGCACAAATGTGAACACGAGACATTTCAAGACTACAAACACGTGGTCGTTAATGCCCAGTCACCTCGTTAAGTGATTTAAACCACGCACTTGCTTGACGTGTCCAACAAAGTACTACGTGGTAATGGCCGGTAGAAATGGCTCAAAGTAATTAAATACAAGGTGTCACAGAATCAACAAGGGAAATTACAGCCCTGGTTTTGGACCGCCGATTCCAAGTGCCATTCACAATAGTTGGAGTCTGAGTGAAGCTAATCCAAACCAATTTACATAATTCTGGTCTCGGGATCTCTTTTGCATATTCCCGGCGACCTTGCTTTCGGCCAATGCCAATGACTAGCAAGCACTGGGTAAGTTAGGTAGAAAAAAAAAACTTGAAATACCATCTCCTTTTTATTTAAGATTGTGGAGAGTAGCATTAGTGCAAGCATCGTATTAGACGTATCGGGGGTATTTTGCTGTTGCGTCGACAACCATTAAGCTAGACCTGATAAGGTGTTTATTAAAGGCTAATCTATCAGACAAATTGTAAACCCACAACAAATAAAAAGGATTGAGTGAATTTCATCGGTGTTTCTTGGCCCCACAACTCATCCGTTGAGTGAAACAGGATAAAAATGGGCTGATCGACCCTTATTGAATTGCAGACGGGAAGTAGATCCATCATGTGAGGCTCTGGATACTAGAAAAACACAAAACCCCTGCTTTCCTCTGGAGAAAAACGGAATAACATAGCTAGCCGAAAGCAGAGCATTTAGAAGTTACTTGATTAGCATACGCCTTTGTAACTGATTTAAGAGCTTGCCTACAATGTACATGGCTTTGGAAGGCTAGGTATTAAAAGATGGCCGGTGAGTTTTCTGACGGAAAAAAAAACGAAAAAAGGCATTTGAGCTTACTGCCCATGACGAGGTGAGCAGTGTCCTGTGCGTTGTCCACGAGGTCACCGACAGAGACCCTGCCGTCGTCGGCATTTTCGGACATGACTGCGCTTTTTGCTGATGAGCTTTGAGAAGTCTTGGACGTCGTCGTTGAGTCCGAATCCGACAGGCTGCTCTCGGCAACGCACTGGTACACCCCGGAGTCCTCCAGACTGAAAGAGTTGATGACGAGTCGCTCGCGCACTGTCTGAGCCGCCGTGGCGTCGCGTCTTTGGACACTGTGGCGACCCGACGTGGCCAGGAGTGGCTGGGCGTTGTGGAGCCAGTAGATGATTTGGTGTGGATAACCCGACACCAGACACTCCAACTCCACTCGCGTGCCAAAGTCGCAGACCCGCTCCTGAGGGGTAATCCGAACTTCGATCGGAGCTGCATTTTTAAAAAAAATTCATTCGAGTTTCGCACAGGTTTAAGGTCCACTGCGACCGTCATAAAAACCACCATAAATTACCTCGAATTTTGAGCGTATAGACTACCGGAGGAAGGCGAGCTGGATAGGCTGCCTCACAGGAGTACTGGCCGGCGTCTTCAAGGGAAACGTTAATCAACCGGAGATTGCCGTAGGCCCCCTGAACAAATTCATACTTCGAGCCCCATGGGCGGCTGTGCACTTTTTTGCCATCTTCGGGATTTAGGTGAAATTTTTGTTGCGGACTGGACGCTGGATACCAATACCACTGCACTCGTAGGCTCTGGTAACTCTCCACAGCCCACGGAAGCTCCACTGTCGATCCCTGAACAGGGCAGTGTAGCAAGTTATTATCACATAAGTATAGGACATTAATTCAAAATAATTCGAGGATAGCGGTGATTAGAAAAAGCACCGCTGTCTTAGCTATTTATTTTTGGACTCTGATTTTACGGTGTAAACGTTGCTGTCCATGGTTGATGGTTGACACTTCTATCCATTGGATGCAGTGGTTTGGTGCCACGACTTGAGCAATGGAGTATTCGAATTCCACCTTGAGAGGTGGCTAGTTGATCATTCGAAAATTACCCGATTTTGAGCCAAAACTGGCACTTAAAAAACAAGAAATGCGTGACACGAGAGATGCGGACAGTTTGGCTTTGCTAATGAGCCATCTCAGCCAAAAGTTGAAGCTGTTGCATTACAAATAAGTACAAAACACCAGCCAGCCCGACGCGCATTGTAAACCCCACTTATTAGTCAATGAAGTTCGGCTGTTCCCCCTTGACAGGTCACATGCACTTGGCGATCAACCATGCCAGAGTTTATAGTGGTAGGGTAGAAATCGACCTATTTTGTGATGTATTTTCAACGTAATTAAAGGTGTTTATTTCAGGTTTGATGGGCCATCCTGATCTAGCTTGTGTTGTGGCGAATTCGACATTGGGATGTGTGTGTCTGCGTGCGTGTGTGCAGTTGTGGATTATGCAAGCAGTTTTGCATACGACTGATGACCGAATCCGACAATCACGTGTACACGCACCCCCATGAAAGCGCTCCAGTTAGTAATTGAGAACACTAGAGCAAGAACTCCTCGTAATGGAGTCTTAAGATCACACACAAGCTAATAATTCAGACCACAGCAATATTATAAAACTGGCTCAGAATTGAGAGCCAATGGCAAAATATATTCACAGGTAAGTGCAATGGTGTATTAACAACCCCGTCATTACAAAAAATGCGATTTTCAGTAAATTCATTTATTAAATGGAAAGTCACTTAAATTATCGCGGCTCCTATCCAAAAGAGACTTCATAAAGTTATTAAATGTGAAGGTCTACCTCCGGCCTAATAGTGCAAGGTTTTGTTTAGTTTGGAAATGGGTGTGTTCTTGGTATTTTCGCCGTTTTTACCAGACAAGTAGTTTCCACGTGTGTTTTGGTTTAAGTTGAAATGGTCATTAGCAATGTGGACATTAAGTCAACTCGATTGTTGAACACACTCTAGCAAAAGGAGAGTATTAGAGTGTAATGCACGGACGCACCACGAGGACATCGACGTCGGTACTTTGACTGCGAACCTCCTCGTACTGGAAGAAGATGCCGAAGGGCTGGAGACGCCCGGTCTCCTGGCGTCGGATCTCACGGCTCTCGTCCACTATGGACTGCAGCACGCAGCGCACGTGCAGCTCCGCCAAATCGGCCTCAGTCACGTCGCGAATGTGCAACTCTGGGTAACGCGTGGCGTTAATCACCGAGTACCGATCCTCTACACACGAACAAATAGGAAGGATTTGTGCTTTTTGTAGTAATTACCGGCATTCGTACGCTCCACAAACACACGCCAAAATCCCTCATGCACTCAAACATCAACAGTTTGCTCAAACTTGATCGTGAAGATTTGAAGGAATTAGCGCAATGCCATTGGTTTGAGGGCAAACCTTCATTCTATAGGCCTATAATTCGATACCGATTAAACTCCAGTGCTAAACGTGCTGATGTACACGGGGCTATTCCGTATACTTGTCTAAACAAGCTGAATTTAACTCCTCGATGCAATTAGCTTATAAGAGCGTTGGTTGAATAAATGAGAGCGAAGAACAACCAGTGAAGTAGATGAAAGTTGATCTGTGAAATCACGGGCATTGCTACCGACCAAAGTAATGCGCTGCAAGTTTGCAGCATCCACGATTTCAAGACATGTTAGTTTTTGCTGGTGGCGCAGCTGCCGCACAAGCGACGCTTAGACTATGCAAAAAATGCTTTAGCGGTTGCAGTTTCTTTGTGGGTTGTGCGGCGAAGTTTTCTTCAAGTCGGCTAGACGTGCGATTATTTAACAGCGAGCAATACGACCGAGTGACAAGACGCGCACTAACTATTGTGCGTTACGGACACGGCACTGGACAAGCGACTTGGAGCACATGCCCACGACATGCCCATCGGCCTGTTTTATTGCAACGTGGAGACTCGGCAAGCGCCTTAAGTCAATTTAGCACGTTCCAGTGACCTTGCCATTTTAATTTTTTTATGCAAAGGTTCAGGTAAGATTAGAGGCACTTGTTTGGCAATTCTGTGGCAATCTGTTGAAAAATATCTGATCGTGTGAAAAATTAGCCACGGCTGAAAAAGTAAATTTCTTTTTGTAAACAAAATGATTTTCATTGGGACAAGAAAATTAAAAGGGATTAAAACTAACACAGCACTACAAGGCTCGGAATTGTTGTGTAAGAAGCTTAACAAACTTACTTGAATGAGCAACCGTGGCAATGAGGGTTTCATTGCGAAAAACTTCCCAGTATTTGACCTTGAGAAATCGATTAAAAATTTCCTGTTCTGGTTGACACCGGATCACTGCTTTTTGACCCGACTTTATGGGGAATGAGTGGTACTTTATCCGTAAGTTCTCATCCGGCACAGGCACTAAAGCAAACAATTAAACCACATGGAAAAATCGAGAGGCTAGGAGTGAAAAACTCCCACCAGCGAGTCTGGATTTAACTTCTCGAATTACAGCTACCAATTACTACTTAGATGCCAAAAGTTTTCAATAATTTACCAACTCACAGGTTAGTCAGGCCTACATGAGTTGGTACCTTGTGAAATGGAAACCGATTGGTTTTTCACTTTAAAAATAGAGTGCACACGCCAATATGGGTGGTAATTGAGCACGACGTATTGACAATCACAGCCGCTCAAAAAGTATTCAAGTGAAGCAACTCCAACCTTGATGAATAACCATTTTCCGAGAGCGTGACTTCCCAAGAGTGTTCTCGGCCTGGCAGAAGAAGACCATCCGTAGGGTGGAGGAGCGAGGGGTGGCGGTGAAGTTGAGCCAACCGTCGTCAACCACGTATTGGTTCGGGTACATCACTGGGGGGGCCAGAGCCGTGATTGGCACGAGACCCCTCGACTCAGGATCGTAGAGGTCGTAGTCGTCGGCGTCTGCTCCACGCAATCGACTGTCCACGTTCTGTGCCTCTCTATGTGAAGGCACAGGATGGCAGTATTATGCTACAGCACACTTCCAGATGAGTAAATTGGCCTTAAATTCCTTTTAACAACATAAATATGATGGTGCAAATTTAGGTGATTCGCAATGGGCATTGGGCTTGAATCACTGATTAAGTCACGAGGCTGGCATATTCGCTGGACGACATGTTTTAAATCCACAACGAGTGACAAGTGCCGAGCAGCCTGAAATGACTAGCGAATTCGGGATGCCTCATTCTTGCGTACAATTCAAAGAAACAGAACCTGTGTAACATATTGGGGCTTATTAAGGGAGGGTGTTTGATTTGAAGACTTCCTTCGTTGATTATTACAGCGAGCACATAGTTCACTCCATCAAGATCGATACAACTGAGATGAAGCCATAGTGACATGATAATGGAGCAAAACCCGTGTGTGGACTTCGGCACGTAACACGTTCGCTCGTTTTAATCGTTGCAAGTTAGCTGATGTTGACATTCTTAGCTATAGTAAACAGACATAACAGAAGAGAAACTGCAATTGTTGAGGCGATCAAGGGAACCCGTTTTAAAGAGTATATGAGCATGGATATAAACACCGGAAATGAATTCAATTTTAACCGGACGCACCTCGCGAATGCGCTAAATCCAAGCTCCAGGGAAGCCGGAGAGGTAGCGTTATTGGCGTTTCCATTAAGATTGGTGGCCACAAGCCACTTGACGGTGGGCCTGGGGTTACCGGTGGCCTGGCATCGGACTTGAGCCCCGGTGTGGTCGAAGAAGCGCAACAACGGGGGCAAATCGGGAGTCATCCGCGGAGGCGCCAGATGACTGAAATCCACAGGCGCGGAAAGCGACCGACGCTTACGCGGTGATTTGGCTGCGGAGGTATCTAGACATGGAAAGCCAAAACTGACACTCAACAAGGTGTGTCGCAGCCTACTTCGCGGGACGACACGTTCCCCTTCCGATTACATTCGAGTGCGCCCGAGTCCGCCTTGACACAGAAACGCTCGTGAAAGGACAATTTGATTTTACCGCTGAAGTTGTTAACAGGAAAAGTATTCTGTTGGAAAAATAACGACGCCTTTAATCCACCTAGGATGCGAACAATACCCCGGATCATTTATTGGTACCTTTCACTGGCAGATCGAGGTTATCTGAACTGCAGTTCCATCATTCATGGTAAACCAAAATTTGTGGACGTAGATAGACACATGTTTTGATGCTTGAAATTATCCTATTTTTATTATTACGACATTTTTCAGTTGTTTGTTCTTCGAAATGTAGATACGGGGTTGCATGCCTCGATGCCTAACGCTGAATTTTGCGATAAATCGGCGCACTGCACACACCACATTCCAACACTCGAAAGGGTAAAACACCCTCATACCATTTTGAGGCGGCTAGACTAAGTTCCACTTTGTTACTAAATTCCACAATCGTGTCCAAGAAAGGCTAGCGAGGTCGTCATTTGCTGTGATTGTGCTGACGACTTATTTCCCGTCACCAAAGCTCTAACAGCTGATGGGGCCTAAATTCTTGGCAACGTATAGACCGCATGCTTGAAATACATATCTCGAGTCTATGATAATTATCTAATCACCTTGATGGCCCACAAAGCTACACGCCTGCGATCCCCTCAACCATGAGACCGGGACACCACTACTTTGCTTTCGGCAAGCTCGATTCCAATCGGTCGGTTAGAAGACATGTTCGATTTCTGTGGCTTCTTGCAGCCGGCTGATTTTCTCACTCGGGTACCAGTAAACCAGGTCAATGACAGAGCCCCAATTGCCCCGTGTTCAGCTGTCTTCCGATCACGCGAACCCGAGTGTCCGCACACAAACCTTTTAATGCCAAGGCAACAATGGTCAAAATAAACATGCTGGCAAAATCAATTTCCGAAATTTTAAATTTGAAGTTCTAACGCCTGAACACCTCAATAGGCGTGAAGGACATGTTATATGTGGTCAATAGAAATATTTAAACCTATGCCGTGCATTAATTGCGCCCTTTGAATATCAGATCACACGCTTGTCTGATTACCTTGTCAGTTGTTGACAGGATTAACTCGACACAGAGCCACGAAATTATCCACTTTCTGCAATCCCAAGGCTTGTAAAACCATACCGCTAAGTAGGTAAGGCAAAAACCAGCAACAGTCGTCGAGGTAAACAAATGAAAGTATGTGGTACATAAGATTTAGTTCCTCGCGTTGATGAGCCTTATAGAATAAGGTCGCATCAGTTGCGTTATTTCCCCCTTGTTATCCTAATAAACTCTTAGCTGATGCGAACTTGTGAGAACAATTCCAAGTTTTAACGATTAAATATTACGCAAATACACTCCTGTGAAGGAACTACTGCTAATGTCAACCACAATTACAAGAAAATAAATTTGATAAAACATGATACTGATTATACAGCAGGCCGATAAACCTAGATCCAAGTAAAATATCATGTGGGTGTGTGTCGAAACTGCGGTTATGTTGCTGCTGTTTTCAGAATTTTGCTTTAAATGGGTAATAATAACACCGTAGTCTTTTATTTCCATAGTTTTTTTTCACTGCAGAGAATGAGCCATCAATGGTGATTAGAACATTCCCGAGTGCCAAATCTAATGTCTCAAACTACAATATTCAGGTTCGATTACGCTCAAGAGCATATTGGAAATCAATCATAAGGTGTTGTATCTTTCGCCACCGAAAATGACAACACCCGTGACAGTGTTAGTCTTGTTAGAAATAATTCACGATGCAAATTGTGTTTACGTAAACATCTTCGACTTTCAACGCTTGCTATTTAGAAATTTTGGATGTGGACCTTAAATGTAAACAGTAAAAAATAAACTAGTGTCAATTGCTACTGCATTTTGAAACATAAACTGACATTTGGTCTAAAAATAGTTTGTTAGGAAAAACTAAGGTTCAGGTAGGGTGAGAAATGCATGTTGTTACAGTTGACAAATGCTGAAACTTGGCACAATTTGCGAAATAAAAACATCCACCAACGAAGCCTTTCCTTAAGGGAATACAGACTTGAGTTTTGTAGTGTAAGAACGACACGATCGAATTTTCTTCCTTCAGTACGATGATCAGCCAGGGGGTCTGTGCTAATTGTCCCACACGGAACAAAAGTGACTAAGATTGGTTGCTAAGGCTCAGCATCGTCGTAGCCGCCCGCCATTTACACGCAGCCACAAGTGAAGCGAGGCCGGCGGAAGCAATAAACCAAATGCCACATTGATTTACGGACGGCAATCACGGTGAGTCATGCCGGAGGGCAAGGTATGAGATTATTCATCATGGCTGCTGCCTATACGTCCATAAGAGAGGGGCCATGACGACCTTTCTCAAGACACATTATAGCTGGTATAAAATATATTTGGTCGGAACTCAGAAAAAAAACCGTCGTAGTGACACACTGGGAATGAGTAAGCCTCTGCTTTGCATGGCATCGGACCGCCAAGCTTTCCGTGTCGATGTCAGTTTCGTTAACTGGAAAATTTCCACCTCACGAAAACACGCTGTTATTCTTGACCAATTGCTTTATTGCCGTACACATTTGAGATTTACGTATACATGTACATGTTCCTGAAAAACCACCACATCGCCTTGAATAGAAGAATTTCCCTGAGCCTTGCGCGGAACATTTCAAGTGAAACGACGCTTAACAAACTACTTCAGTCACCGTTATTAATTTTAATGAAAAAAAGTTCCATTCACAATGTTTTCAACTAAATTGATATTTTGCCTTACTATATTAGATGTCGTTAATGGTCAACTGTCTATTAAGAGTTTCTGAATTGCTGATGCACAAACTGCAATGTGCTTAGCTAACCGCAAGCACTACAAACCGTTTCCCTTGGCAACGGCAGCGGTAAACCCGTGCGAACGCTTCAACAGTCACAGTATTTTGACAGGTTGTTTATAAAACGATGAAGAGCCTAGTGCCAATCCTATGCCTGCATTAATAGAAAGACAATTTGTCCGTGATCTGCGAAACGTGACGCTAATTCAAATATTATCGGGTAACTAAACGCGATCATACTTTGTATTTTCCAAGAGAGAGGTTTTAGAAAGTAAAACAACAGTTTGTCAAAATTTGGAGGAAAGAAACGGAGATCCGGACAAGTTGCCAATATGTAACGCTATTTTAAGTATGTAATATCGGTCCAAAAAAATTGAAATCCGCACATAACCACCGTTTTGAAGATTCGAGGGGTGGCCCAAGATGTTTCCACCATTGCTACACTCTAGATTTGCAAGTGAAAGGAAGTTGGTTTGAAAATAGCTAATCTTGGAAAAAGACGTTGCATATTATTTAAAATTTGTAACGACCAGGCTTCTTAAAATCTTAACAAATACTAGAACATTGCGAACCGTTTTAGAGATTTGGTTCACATAGACACTGAAGACACTGTGGTAGCTTCCCGCTACGTTTCTAGCGCCATGTAATGAAGACGATCGGTCAGTAGTGGGAGTTCACATTTGCTCGAGACTGGTCACATTCCAGAGGTAACACTGAGTTATCTTTCCCTTGGGATAGGAATTCACGCAAGGAAATATCACATCGTCATTGAAACATCACAGCCTCAGTGAGGTTCTACTGATCGTCATGCAATTGAAATGCAGCATTTTAGATCAACCGCTCAGTAGAATAAATTGTTAGTTTACCTCGTAGAGTCCGCCGCAATGGACCACAACACGACCAATTAAGCTTCTAAGGAAAACAAGTGCACCCACGTATCTTTTCTTAGAAATTCAATTCCAACGAGCCGAATAACTACCTCTGGAGAGGACATAAGTGTGTACGTACTGAAGCTGTACAGGCAGACGAACAACAGTGACGCAGAAGTTTGCATCGGAAGTAGAAAAATGGGGATCACAATAATGGAAAGTTTGTGTAAATATTTGGGGCTGTGGGCTTCTTGTGACAATCATTTGTTAGCAGTTGATTCTGCTTTGGTCGCCTAATGATGATGCTATGCAAAATAAGCCTAACTTCTTTGATATGTTCATCAGTGCACGGTCACACGCTTTCACGACGATCAGTAGACAATACCTGACCGAACTCTGGAGCCTGCAGTAGCTGAGTTCCACAGTATTTTCCAAGACAGCAAGAGGAACAGGTACCATTCACCTACAGTAATGGTTAAGTGATTCTCAATAAATACAACATCCACACAGTTTATGCACAGTTTTGGGAGGTTTAATGGTGCGTATAAGAGCAAATAGTCACTGCGAAAGTTGGCAAGTCGGAACCTTCTTTCCTGCGCCTAATTCGAGTCCCACTACATCTAGTGCTGTTAAGCCCATTCCTCATTCAGTATGATTGGCATTGGTACCCTGGTTCAGAAAGGTACACTCTAAAAAAACGGAAGTGAAATCAGTAGTACCAGTAGTGAATGCCATTTTCGAATGGGGAACAGCAATTACAGATGAAGACCCTTACAGGAGAAGTGGCAGGTTAGGAAGAAGCAGTGGAAATTACAGATAGCTGGTGACAATGAACAATGACCAGGCACTGTCCAGATTTGAAGACCATTTCGCCTAAACACGTGGACAAATGAAGCCCCAGTGGCGCTGACTCTTCCTCACAGCGTTTAGTTGGTGGTGTCAGGTTGGTGCAAAAGTAATGTCTGCCTTCAGGGTTTGTTTGGACAGCAAAAAAGTCGGGATTATAAAAGTAGCCATTCGTTAACATGGCCTCCGTTAAAGTTTCTTTCTGTTAGTCGATATGATGTCCCAAGATTTTACTAAACACAAAAGTATTCAACAGAAAATGGACAAGACAGGTGCATCAACCTGGTACAAAGTGGCCCTGAAGAAATTTCAGTCAGCATGACAACGAAGACAAAAAGCAACGCCAAGTAGATGGAGTTGATTTATCTCATTTAGCTTAAGGAGAGGTAAACAGAGTAGGCTAACTTTAACATGACAAGAAGGCAAGGCATTACGTTAGCACAGGGCAATGACGTTGTTGCTGATGGCGACTGCTGTTGCATGGAAAAAAAAGTGAATTCCAGGGTAACACCATCACGAGGGCTTCTCAAAAAACCGTGTGTTTACTGCGCGCTGGCACTGCGACTTTTTCTGCAATGGAATTCGCGCAAAGGACACGGCCGCTTGTGCTGACGAGTTAAGCTCCCTGCACTTTCTGATTCCAGGCGGTCTTGACGTTTAGTTGTGTGGGCCAATACGAAGGCCTCGCAAATTGTTTGGCATCACCTCGTTCATGAAAATTTTTAAACTGAATTTGTACGCATGTTAGGGCTCAACCGATAAGAGCGATGCCGCCTTGTCCAAGGCCACGTTGGTGCGTTCGATTAGGCGTTGCCGACAGGTCCAGGAACAATGACACACACGTTTTGTGCGAATTGGGGGTGACGCACACCACGAAAGGGCTGCCTAGACACCTTGTCTGCGTGAAATTGGCGGTGAGTGCAAAGCTGTCTGTTAATATGCGCAAATTTATAGCCGGGCTAAAGTAGGAGTGTGGAGGAAGTAAAGCAAAAATCTGGAGTGGATTAGGTTTTAATTAGACCAAATTGAAGCGAAATCGACTTCGCAGATTATCAAACTCACCTGACATAAGATTTGCAACGTATGACCTGTTAGGGATACTGAATTGCTCGACAAGGTAGCTCAAACCATCGACCCACGTTAAAGCTGGGGGCCAAAAGTTCGTGGCCTGGGGCAAGAATGAGTGGAGCTTGCATTTTGTGGTGTTTAAAAATTACCTCTTAAAGCGAAGTGACTTCGCGAATTGTGGGTAGGCAGGTAATGCGTACAATTGCATTGCAGTAACCAAAATGTTCATTTTGTAACGAAAAATGTCGGCCACTTTAATAATAATGAAAGGACTAGTAGGACAGCTTTTAACGCATATCACAAAGTGGCAAGTTTGGTGCTTATCTCGTTACAAAGGCATGAGAATAGAACGCGAATAGTGACAGGACATTGGTCACCTTGTTAGAGCTTCATGGGGCCAATTATAATGCCCTTGTTTTTTGCATGGACTGAATCCTACTTCCTCAAATACTTTTCGGGTGCATGGGAGGGCAAGTTTCTTGCGACTGAATTATCGATTACAATCTAGGATGCGGCGTTGGAGAAGTTACCTCGATGTCCCCCATGGCTCACGTTAAGGACAGGATGTGGATGGTGAAGGGTTAATAAGGTGTTAAAACAGAGCTGTGTTCAGTAAAAGTCCGGTTGCGATTTTTTTGTTGACTGCAAACCTTGCCAGTGGCGGCTTTTCTGGAGCCCTAGTTGGGAAATGTGATACGGACTTACACATTGCAAACATACACATGCAGGAAAACGAGCTTCTGTAGCAGGAACCACGACCCTGAGATCTTTTAACACCCAGAAACATGTTCCACATTTGCACAAGGCACCGGCCCACTTACGTTCTCAGGTAAAGACGACATGTGAATGTGAAACTTGTGTATTGAAATCGATTTTGTGCAAGTTTAGAAGTCTTCCAACTTTTGGAATTCTGCATCACTGCATCCCTCAGCAAATCAAGGGCTTCATCCATCTGTCCTTTGGAAGGCCAGATTTGTGAAAGATTTAGCATATGAAAGGTCTGTGGCTGAAATGTTGAGAGGGATTTCAGTCGATGACAAAGGAAATGCCAAAACTACCGAAACAGATAATACTTTTACTTTTGCACTCTGTGGACGGAATACAGGGCTACTGTCAAGTTAGTCCAAAGCCAAATCCCGACATTGATTACGGAACCAAACCAGATGTTTGAGACGCTAGGATTCCGAGGTGTGTGCCATCCTCAGTGGATTACAAAAAGGGTATTACTTCTAACCATGGCGAATAACCAAATTATCTGAGTCTAAGACGTCATACTGACTAGAAGACCGTGTGCTCCGACGTTGAACAGCTGACAAGGATCGGTACAGGAGCGTTTTCCTAAGTTCTCAGACGAAATTTAAGCTATCCTAATTTTGACGGGACGGTAGCAGTACCATTTGTAATAGCCAATAAATGTGTGTGAGCTGTCCCGCATGCACTTCCGAACCAAAACGAAATTTCTTAATTGGGTGAATGCGGATCCTTCCGATCGCTTCGTATTGAAGGACTACTTCCCTACTAACCTGGTTCGCGGAATTCTGGTAAGCTGTAACTTGAACGTGGAAAAAAACTTGCTGGAATCCTTCCTACAACAACGAGAACGTTGGTAGACCCTAAAACTGGTTTTAGACAGTGTTACACAAAAGGCAACTTCGAGTTTGGAAAGGCGCTTCGCAGACGAACTTCTACCAAAGCTATCAGCACCACACACACGCGGTAGGTGTCAAACGGGTTTCGCCCTACCGTAAAATTATAATGGAGCACTCTTAGGTTCTTAGTGGGTATTAGACCTTCCGACACTGTGTTGAAAGGAACCTATTCTAAAGGTTTTTATTTTACACTTGAGAAAAAGTGGCAAAATGGTGCAAGAATGAATTGGACTTACCATCTTGATGCGGTCGAGGCCACTGCTGTACAAAGGAGTGTGGGGGAGCGGTCCTGATAGGTAAATAATTCCAAAAGAACAAATTCGGAGCCACAGCCGGATGCGATGGAGTATAATTCCACGTCTTCATATCAGCATTTACCTGGCCGCCATTACGCGGGACAGTAGCTGAAAGTAGGAAGAGTATGCCCACAACAACATTTGCGAGGACCTTGGGCGAAAAAATCCTTCCTCCAACAGGTATAGAAGTAATTATCCACAGGCGCTGCGGCATCGCGCAAGTTTTACATTATGTTGCAGACGAGACAACAAGTCGTGTGGTGCATTTTGCGAACAGGGTGATTTAAGGCTTTTATGGAAGATAATGTTCCTGGTGGTGCAGTATGCGCTTGTACAAGGTGCGGCTATCTACAAAATAGCATGTATACACGCGCGCACTGGACTTGTGGCTTCCCCACGGCTAGGACACGAGCAATGACTTACGTTACTTGGCCTTCTCTCTCGCTCGCCTAGAGGCGCGCGCATACATACGCACAGCGTGTGTGCGCAGTGCGCGCATTCCGCTCGCAACGCGATCGATACGAGGCAGAAACCGGCCTTCGGGGCATATACGATGTGACGAATGCATGCGTGTGTCCGCGCATTGGGCTACGTGCGCATCCACTACGCGTCATCGTAAGCGCGCATGTGATTCGGCTGGCCAATCGGATGGCGAAAGTGGATGCTAAGCTTTCTGGCCCAATGGGGTGCGTACATCGACGGCGCGACATATGAGACGGTATGGTTGCCGCGTCGACGGCGCTCGCCATGTAACCCATGGAAGGTAGCGAGTAGTCTTGGCTGCATCACTGCCAGGTTAGGGAGACGTGGTTAGTCTGAAAAGTTCCATCATTTTTCCAAGCCGTAGTCGCAGTTAAATTAAGTAGTGCGCTTCTTCAGGCATATTCTCATTTGCCCAAATTTTTATCAGGTCGTTCTGGAGCACGCGGGATTTACCCTGCATTGCAGCCCTTTCAACTTAAGCGTTCATCATGTCCCTTATCAGTCTTCATATCGACGCCCAAGTACGGCCAGTCAAAGTTTAGGGCATCCAATTACGTTCGACCTTTCATGGATCAGGGTTGAGGTGGCTTTAGTAGGCATCTCTGGCAATTCTTAACTTGTGTACTGGGTCAACGATGATGATACTAATAACGTCAATAATAATTCTCGTTATTATTACTACTATTAATGACAGCAATAATAGCAAAAATACTACTAGTAATAATAGTAGGGCACAATTGTGGATTTCTCTCCTGCTTATAACTGTAATGACATCCTCTGTGGTTCCTTAAATGGATAAAGGGGTTTCATTTTACATCACCACGCGACTTTAACCGCCAGGTTTTAAGGTCGGACCACAAGGAGTGCAAGTTGCGTCTACGACGGACGCTCTCCAACTTGGTTACCGATACTCGTTTTCGAGATGGAGGCCTTTAGGTCGTTATTTGCGGACCGGATACTGGCCGCTGACAGCCCTCATTCCACCACCGTAGAAACGGAGTTCAAGAGTTGCCTTGAAAATTGAGGGGAAATTACAGGATGCTATCTAGTTCCCATTTTTCGTTCCTCTAGTCGTTACTTCATTGCGTGCTTTACATAATCCGGCGTTTAAAGTGCAATTTCCCGAGGCGGAGTGTTTTCGTATTACGGAACTGTTTGGGTTTGTTGATAAATCGATGCGAGTGGTGGTATGATTGAAAGAGAGGCTCTACAAGGGATGTTGTGATGTGTGCAATACTAGTACCGACTTGTTGTTTCCTAGGGTTCAGTATCAACTTTTGTGGCACTTAATGGTGCTTGTCGCTTGTTTTTGTTGCGACACACGCGATGAATCGAGGATTAGCGAGTTGGGCCTCGGGATTGTGTCCTGGACCTTCACGGGCCATATCTTGGGCTTACAAGCGTGATATCTTTTTAAAAAGAATGACAGTTTCACTCGATGGTTATTTCAGACAAAAACAATCCCTGAGTAAATACGACCTACTTCAGGTGCCCTCATGTTAGGCGACTTCATATGTGCCACGGCACTAAGGCCCCAGCCTCCGTCCTTAACTCCATTCCACATCCTCCCCAGTACCATTCAAGAAGTCCTCCTTTAAGGCCAACTTTCAACTTGCTTCAAAATAAAGTTCATTATGGCATCACCACTTCTAGAGTTTGATTGCAGCTGCATGCATTCGATGTAGAGTACCAATCATTTTATGAGTGGATAATCGTAGGCTTCCAAATAAGATTCATGATTAGATCTCATATAAGACGATTACATCTTTACTAGGGCTATTTCCTTCAATACCTTTGAAATCGTAAATGCTTTTGTTGTAAGCAAGACTATTATTGCATAGTCAAGGAGCGCATTTTGTGAGGAGATAAATTATGTTTATAATTAAAAGTCGCAAATGTTCTAAAAGCATTTTTAACCGCACTCGAGTTAACATTGAAGGAGCATTGAGATTGTGGATTATGTCAAGGGATTCTAAGTTGTAGAACCGACTGTAATCCATAAAATTTCATGATTTGGGCAACATTTTGGTTTTGATTTGCGGAATCCCCAACTGCATGAGTTAACAATTATTCTGCAATAATTACAACAATGAATGGGGACTTTAAGATAAACCCTAAGGTTTCTCATGTATATAAAACACTAAATCTGTTTAAATCAGCTCCGGAAAGAACGACAACTGGAAAAGCTGCACGTCTTTGCGCGGAGAAAAGTAAACGTGAACGAGAGCGAAAACAGAGGTGAAATTTGATTAGGTTGTGGTAACTGAAAAGGCTACCATCTCTTGTCTTGACTAACACGGAACGGCCAGCTGTGCGGGAGGCCCATCGAGATTACCGTCGAATCGACTACAAGTTCCATGATGCCTTCGAGGCTTGGATAAGTGCGCGTGCCGATTGTATCCCTACCAGAAAATGACAATCTCCTTTTGAAGCAATGGCTGAAGGCTTTCAAAAAGTTATTTAAGGCTGCATTGAACACCTTGACAAATGCGGCCTTTGGAGCACAATTCTAAGGTACCAATATTAATAACTACCACGCGAAGTGCTTATGATGTGTCAATGTTCGAGAAATCAAATCAGCTCACATATATCCTGTCGTGGTGCTGAGTGTAAAAAAGTAACCCACTAATCCCCTTTCAGGCCTGCAAAGATCAGAAGTCATGAATGACCTCATTCCGAAGTCTAAAAAATCGAATTCCATGCCACGCATTTCCACTAACTATTGTCGGCACGCTGAGTGAACTATGTAACGTGGCTTAGATTAATACTTTAGCAGTCATTTAGTTCCCAAATAACTCACACTGCAAATTGATGCCTCCAGAATTAGGATCCTAGAGTATCTAGTGACTTTCTCGTGGCAAAAGTGGCGGTTCCCTCCAGCACACTGCCTTTTAGCACGGAGATTCGACATTTGTTTATGCCATCGTTTTTTGCGAAGTGACCAACCAGCGATAACCCCCGATATTTTTGACATTTAAATTCAATGATTGATGTGAAGAGATCAATAATTGGTAAAATCTGTGGCACTGAGAAGTAAACTGCCCTTTTGGGAAACTTTGGAAATAAGCTGAATGATTAGCGAGCTCTCATACGATATCTTCTAAAAGCCACTTGATCTGATCAGTTCAACCCGCTGACAGAGGGGAAAGTGTCATAACAAATGCGCGCACACGCACACAAACACATTTTGAATGCCAAAATAAGGGTTCCACGTCCTTCGCAAGCTCTGGACGCCATAGGTAAGACGGGGTTTAGCTCCCGGTTTTAAAGTTGAATTAAGGCATAAGTCAGCAGTGCCAGACGCAACACCTCTCATTTGCATCCATGTGTGTACTAAGTGTCAGCGAAAATTACTGAAATTGTTACTGATATAAGACCCAATCCATGATTACAGGAGCCTCAAAATGAGATTTTTATTAATATTGAACCACTGAATTGGCTGGCAATTAATTACCAAAGTTTAGATTTATTGGTTCTGCACTGGGGATCTTTACAGTCGAACAATGTAAGTTTTGCGAGATCATGAGTAATGCCTTAATAAATAATTTCCATAGCTCAAGCACCGAGTCCTTCTCGAGTGTTGAGTGAGAGTAGACGAGAGCCACAAAGAGGACACTGAGTGAGTGGAAGGAGGCCTCGACGTCGACCAACGGAAGATGCATGTACCAAAATAAAAACAATAGTGGACGCACATTAGTAGGTTTCTGTAGCGATGATGTCCAGGTATTTAGACTTCTCCAATGGGTCAATCGACACATAGTTGTTTGGTCCTTAAGAATTTCCCTAACTAGTACCAGAGGTGCTATGCCCAAGTAATGTGGGTGAACAGCCACAACTGCCGTCCCGATTTTTTTTATAGAGTCAGGGAGATTGTGACAATTGTTTACTTGAATCACAATTGAAGTTGACAATGGTCACACAGCACAATGTGCCTGGTACAAAGAATTACAAGCAGTGTCTGGCAGCTCGGTAGGCACAACGCCAACCGGTGAGAGAGCCGTGGTACCTAACGAGGGTAGATGCGCAAGGAGCGTTGTGGGTCACGTCAATCACGTGTTGTGTTTAATCCGCTCACACCAAGGTCACCTAGGGGTGTGTGTGTCGATACACCGTGATAATCCAAATTAAACATTTACGATAATCGGAAATTGTAGCGTCTATTGTAAATGGGCGCTCGACCTATTGCCCATTTCATATTGACGCCTCAGTCTTGACTGGCACAGACGCCAAGATATAAGTTACTCCTCCGTAACTATCAGGAAAACGGGCTGTCAAGGAGGGTAAAATTTTGATATGGTCTACGCGAAAGTGGTTTCAAGACAGTAAATTTAGATTTTCACTGTCGTTTAGGGATAGAGCAGTAAAGTAAGTCATGAAAATTATGAAATTTTGGGTTATAGGTGCCAATCATCAGTGAATTCATAATGCGACCGATTGGGATGATACTTCCACGCACCGTCTATTTAACCTCTCCCTTAAAGTACGCTCCTTATGTGCGCTGACAATTGGCCTAGTAGTCCTCTAGGAAGGACACTTACTACAGAAGAATTATCTTAGTTACACAGCTCGAGTCAAAATTTTCATCACGTAGGTTAGAAGATAATGGTAGTGTGAGGATTCGGGCTTCACGAGTCGAAACGCCTTAGAGTGGGCAATTGAAAAATGCATGAACAAGGAGCTGATTGGGGTCCACAAATGCTTGGCTTAAATTGAATCCACAAAACGACATTTTTGTGAAACAACGACACTGAGGTATCAAAAGCGGAAGGCAAAAACATTGCAGGTTTTCGCTGATGAATGGATCGACGATTAATAATGAATCCAGATGAAGTACACCAAAAGTATTCCAAGTCAGGGGACGCAGCCATAGGAAGTATCACAGTTCTCCACGGAAGAGCCGGCGGCATAAGGAGTGTCCAATACAATGAAGCATTTCGCGAGTTCAGTGTGTTAACGGAATAGGCCTTCTTGGAGAATGAGAGCAATCCACGAGTTAGGCCAATAGAATTGCCATTCCATGCACCAAAGAGTGTCATGACAGTCGCATCATAGTCGAATACTTCGTAATGGGGCTGGACGCAAAATGCAGCCACAGTAGGCTAGACGCGATCAGCACTGAAATAGGAAATTTAATCTCAGTCAGGCTGCAGGAGTTGGGTTGTCATATGCAGACAGACAAGAACACAAACTTATGCATGGTGCTGCAGAATACTTCGGTCATTCCAGTGAGCGGAGAGGAACTGCGAAAGGTGACTTGCTTAATCGCGCTGCAAGTCAATTTGTGGAATGGATGTGCAGCACGAAGAGGTATGGCGGAGTTACAGGCAAAATCCTACGTGTAACCACAGATGAGCACACAATTACAACCTCACTACACTGGATAATGTAAACTCTTGTAGTGAATCGTGTTGATTCACGTCCAATAACCCTGTCCTCGCAGCTTTCAGCACACCTCCCCCCTTGTCACGTGAG